AAATACATTGTCAAGTTATTCTGTGATAAATATAGATATCCTATTGTGCGGCAATTCAGAATTGTCAATTGAGATGAATACAAACCTTTTCCTTGAAGTTCACAAATATATCAAACTTTCAAAACGATTTAAATTTAAATAAAAGTTATTGTTAGTAGTTACATCTTAGAATAAATTATTAGCTTTAGCTTTTTTGGTGGATAACATTTTTTTTTTTTTCCCGCACCCCCCACCCCCCATTTTTTTTTATTATTTCTTTTTATTATTTTATACATGCATCAGTTCATTTATATCCCATTTATTAAACTTTATTTTTCAATGTTTTAAATATAATTTTATATTCTCTTTATCACCTCTTCACTTATTTTATATAGAGCTTTGAGATATAATTCATCTGACTTTACTTATATTACTTATAAATTATTTATTATTGTATATACTATTTCGAAATCTTGTTTGTATTAAATAATGTCTATCATTTCTATGTATGGAAAGGGCTTTTCTAAGTTTTTGAAACTTGTGCTCAATCCTTTTGATATTTGTCAATAAAATGTTCTGTTGATGTGTTTCCGATCGCTAAATGCCACTTAAAGATTATGTTCAATCAGAGTGTTTTATCACAGGAGTCTGACCTTCTATCCGTATATATATATGCATACACCATGTCCAAACAGACAATATACAATATATTGTCTGGTTGGACATGGTGTATGCATCAGACTCCTGTGGTTTTATAAAGATTTATTCAGTAGACCCAACGCATGTTGTTAACGGCGCTTTCATTATAGTTTCAATCGGGCTTTTTTATAATGATTATTTCAGTAGACCTATGGTATTTTGTTAACGGCGCTTTCATTGGCTAGAATCAACGTTGAAACAATATGAATCTGGACATTTCCTATTCGGATATATTTAATGTCGTCATCCATTTCCGTCGGCCTATTCACAATTTTATTTGTGTACGCTCTATAGGTCAGAGTTCAGATTGGATAAGAAACCTCATCTCTCAACCCTTCGTGTTTCGAAATATGAGATTGTACTGTATAGTTCCACTATGCGATAAAAACATAGTCTCGATTATCCACTTCATGATTAAATCATGACTGAAAGTCGAGCAGCAAATCGGATCCTAATCCAGTAAATATCGCAGGCTAGCGATGACATAGAGAGTTGATCATGGTCTAGATAAGTTAATTAATGTCTAATTAATAATTTAGATAATATTTTAGGCCAAAAGAAAGACCAGCAATTAGTATAATGTATGGCAAATCAAAGACGACGAGTTATCGCCCCGTAAGTTACAAAAACACTTTATTCTGTCAGCTTTCTTTTCACAATTTGTCTTTTAAAACTTGTGAATGATATATACTGCAGGAAAAAAGTTTTAAACTTTCTCAGTGGGTTTTGTTGACATTGCTTTTGAGCTTAGAGATGCTGACTTTGCTGGTGGTGGGCGTATTGGGGGATCAGGCTGTCTGGCAAGCCCAACCCCACACACGGTGCCTGTCTTAGTGGTTCTGACTTTGACTTCGCCAGATAAAGCTGGTTTTGACTGTAAAATATTCCGCAGAATGAAACTGGATTTGCCCGAATTGTTTGTAATAAATTATTTTATCCCAAATCGTGTTCGTTTATTTTACATACGATCGAATTTCATCCAAGTCTGATCAATCCACTTAAGTATTTGATAAGATATTGTCAATAATTACAATTAAAGGATATTTGTTGTGAGCCTACTCTGTTGGTATGGGTTCTATTGAGCCACGATCCGTAACAAAAATATTCTACATCGATTTATTTTCGATTTTTAGAGAATACAAACTACTGAAAAGATGAACCTAATCAAATGTTGGTTAATTATTATTTGCAAAAAAAAAAAAAAAAAAAAAAAAAAAAAAAACCCCATAAACATTGGCCAACATAATAACAACATAATTAAAGATACATTATGGGAGATAAGATAAAGAGATGGCAGTTCTCGTTATAATAGTTAAAAACTAGATAGTGTAAAGGTAATTTGCTGAAAATTTCAGTCAAATTGATCCACTATGAGCCGAGAAAGAAGCGGGTGAAATTTTTGCATAGTCTCGGTCATCATTACTAAAATCGTTTATATAAACAGCATAGTCTCGATTATCCACTTTTTCTGATTTAATTATCAACGGCCGTTAGCGGCATATAGGAATCTAATTCAGCCAACATCGAAGGCTAGCCTTGACATCGAGAGTTTATTATGGTCTGGATAAGTTAATTAATGTCTAATTGATAATTTAGATAACATTTCAGGCCTAAAGAAAGACTTGTAATAAGCAGATTTTGCTCTTGCATAATGCATGTTTAACTATCTATGTGTCACGGGAGAGGGTATAGGGTCGTAGTAGGTGGATAGAATTGAATTATACTCCATCCGGGCTATTCAATACGGGCATCCATAAATAATGAACTTGACAATACCTGACAATATATTTGCTATAGATGTTTCGATTGTATTCAATACGGGCATCAATAAATAATTAACTTGACGATACCTGACAATATATTTGCTATTAGATGTTTCTATTGTAAATTTAGGTTTGTAGTCCAAGGGTGAACTGTCCGGATTATCGATGTTCTGTAAATTGTATAGTAAAAAAATGTAATAAAAGCGATTTTTATATCTGAATTCTTACTATTTATCAATGAACTTAAAGATACATTATGGGAGATAAGATAAAGAGATGGCAGTTCTCGCTATAATAGTTAAAAACTAGATAGTGTAAAGGTAATTTGAGCCGAGAAAGAAGCGGGTGAAATTTTTGCATAGTCTCGGTCATCATTACTAAAATCATTAATATAAACAGCATAGTCTCGATTTTCCACTTTTTTTAATTTAATTATCAATGGCCGTTAGCGGCATATAGGAATCTAATCCAGCCAACATCAAAGGCTAGCCTTGACATCGAGAGTTTATTATGGTCTGGATATGTTAATTAATGTCTAATTGATAATTTAGATAACATTTCAGGCCTAAAGAAAGACTTGTAATAAGCATACTTTGCTCTTGCATAATGCATGTTTAAATGAAGGATTTGTGATGGGTAGTGTTAAAAACCACACTGGTAAATCCTAAGGAACTTTCTCAGCCAACACCGCGATATAGAACCCCCTCGTTAGTGAACATTGCTATACTGATCCAGCGTTTCTATTTCAAAATTTGACACATAATAGATAAAACTCATGTAGAATTCAACTGTCTTGCTCTTGCTCTTGTTTGCCGACGTCATTCAAATTGGCTTTAAATTTTGGTTGTTACTATTGGTAGAGATCAATGATGCTTGAAATTTGTCACATCAAGATGATCTGAAGTTGCTGTAGATATGTTCGATATTGTTATAGTATTGATGTCATATTTATAAAGTGATCTTCAGGGAAGTTTGGATATCAATAAATATCTAATAGATGAATTTCATTCGATTTGTTGCTGACCTTCATATTGTAAACCCGCTGTGTAAATTTGCATGAGTTAAAACATCTAATCCCCTGATCTAGATCAAAAACAAGCATTATCAATGTTTTTTGGGAAAATATAGTAAGTGATCTATTTGATGGGGTGGCAATTATCTTTCTTCGGTCAAACTTTTAGGTCCAGAGATAAAACCAATATTGATACATAACGAAATGTGGGTTCCTATATCGATAAGGCCGGTGAAGATATATAACGAAACTAAAACAAGTAAACAAACCAGCTTCCTCTCAATCTTTAGAAACATACATGTAACACACAACTTAAATTGTTTAAGTGATATCTTAGTAATTAGTCGCATTAAATAAAACACTTATGATAGCCTATACAATTACAGAATTTAACTGGAACCATCGATTCACTTGTTGTTATTGTACTTGATAACTATAGAGAATCGATGTTGAATTATTGCTGCTATTTTTTTCTCTAATTGTATTCCGTAAAGTGTTGTGTGTTTTCCCATCGCGTCAACCCAATTTGTTGCAACCTGGAGAAAATACGACCTCTTCCTTGTCCTGAAATTATGTAGGCCTATAAACATTCACTGAAAATTTTAAAACGAAACGACCTGACAAGAACTGCATAATATATAGTCTAGATTGGTCAGAAGGGATGTTGCGGGACGCATGTATACGTTTTAAGGAAACAGAAATGAAATGGGGTTTAACGTCCTACTGTTTTGCTCCGACTGGGCTAAATGAAGACAAATTGAACTATAGGCCTATGTTTAATGGCATCTTTTCTAATTAAGTCAGAGAAAAGATTATTTTAATTCAAAACACATTATGTAAGAGCTAATTACTGTCCATTGCAGGTTTTGTCTGGTTTCAAATATTTAATAAATTATTATTTAGACATTTATTTATATGCAGCTTTCAGCATGGACGGATTTAGGATTTTCAGAAAGGGGGGGGGGGGCGTGCTGCCCCCACTTGGGAGTGCGAAGCCTGGCCCTCGATGGGCGGACTGATGGGTAATCAACCAAGTCACCAACCGGCTCGTTTCGGAGTAAATTACGACGGGGATCACTACCATTTTTAAGCATTTTTGTTCTCATTTCCCGCCAGAATATATGGGGCAAAAAATTGTTCGCCACCGCAAAGATAGGGGGGGGGGGCGTGCGCCGTGTGCGCACCCTCCCCCCCCCGGGTCCGCGCCTGCTTTCAGGACTATTTGGGGAGTCACGTGGCTAAGTGGGTGAGGCGCTGACTTGCTAGCCTGGGTCGTTTTCATTAACACTCGGAGCAGAACAGTAGGACTTTAAACCCCATTTTCATTTCAGGACTATTGGATGTAAACTTCGGAAATTATCCCCAAACACTGGAAAAGTCCTCATGGAGTTCGTTGATTCGTGGGGCGTGACGTCCGCTTAATTACATCTCGGGCGATATCCTAACCAAGTAGAGCCAAGGAGCTTTTTCCGTTGCGTTCCCCTCCGCTGGATCCGCATAGATGTTAAATATAGGTCCAAGGGAGGTAATTACCACGGTGTTGCGAAATGTCGGGACTCAGTTTCTAAGTTTAGACTTGTTTGAAAGATGATTGCTTGGACATAAAGCAAATGTCAGCAATTTACAAATATGTAAAGCCAATTAAATAACTTGTCTTCTAGAAGTGGAATCAGTGGAACAGAAATCATGGTCTCGATACAACAACTTAGGAATCGGGGTTGGGGAGGTAAAATGAATTTGTGTAATGTGTAGTCTAAATCTATCCAGACAGAAGTCAATTTTTGGCGTTTTATTTAATTTAGAAAATTCATCAGTGCCGTATTTGGTGTTATCATGGACCTTATATATACATTATAAGGTCCATGGTATTCTGTAAACTGTCTGCAATATTAAAATAAAAAAAAGAAAAATTATGAAAAACAAATATTATGTTTTATTTTAATGTAATAATTGTTGTTAATGTAAAAGTAAGCACATCCAAATTCCTATTATAAAAAGAACCCAATTAAAACTGCAGTGGAGAATAATGGATGGATTTATTAATATTATTATTATTATTATTAATTGGATCATCTAAGACATATAAAGATGACAGCAGGAAATTATTAGAAGCTTACGTAAACTTTAACTTTTTTGGACCAAAATATATATTTTTTGATTTGTATAAATTCAGTAGGCCTATGGTAGGCTACCGTCCGTATTTAACCTTTGTTTTGAATTTGATATATGTTTTAATTGTAGGCCTAAGACTCAGCAATCTTATCAAATTTTATGTCATAGTTTTATATTACATCCATAACATCTTCTGATCATTTGCAAGTCTGTAGGCCTAGTAATCTGCAGTAATCTCTATGCCCATGCAGGTCTGCGAATTAACTCCAGTTTTGCTCAATATATAGCCTATAGATACAGTATACCATAACTATGAAAATGTGGGACAATTTCACTAAATTGCATGCTTTATATACCAAACCGGGTTTAATGTCCTACTGTTCTGCTACGACTGGGCTGATGAAGAATGGCGTACAATGTGCTATGAGGGAAATTGTTCCCAGACAGTGGCCCTGCTGCCTCCTCGTATATAGAATTCCAACTGCCAAGAATACTTTTAGGTGCAGGTCAGTGGGAGCAAGGGATCTTGTTTTTGATACAATCCGAACAACTAGCCTATATGTTTTCCATTGCCAGGCCATGTCCTGCACCACTGACCCTCTATTTAGAAACGAATAATTGCTTTAATGTTTCATATTTGTAATCTTGGTTAGTTAATAAGCTTTTCCATGGTACAGTAGAATTGGTGGTTGGGATTGGGGGGTAGATGGCCGAAAGGTTGGCGTGTACGCGCTGTATCATAAGGTCTGTCATCGAGTCAACTGGCGTGGTTTCGATTCCCCGGTTGTACGTGACACTGCTAAAGACCCCTCCGCGCAAACAAATTATTGAAATAAAATTGAACCATATGTTAGTCTCGAAATGACCTAGTTTGTGTCAAGTGGTCGTTAAACCCCAGCATGCGAGCGCTGTATCATATGGTCTGTCATTGAGTCAACTGGTGGGGTTTCAATTCCCCGGTTGTATGTGACAAGGAGTAGGGTCGCCTGTCCAACCTCGTGGGTTTTCTCCGGGTCCTCCGGTTTCCTCCCACTGCTAAAGACCCCTACGCGCAAGCGAATGATTGAAATAAAATTGAACCATGTGTTAGTCCTGAAATGACCTAGCTTGTGTCGAGTGGACGTTAAACCCCATTTCTCTCTCTCTCTCTCTCGTTAAACCCCATTTCTCTCTTTGTCTCACCGTAGAATTGTGTTCTATAGCCCCCTACACCAGTTGATCATCTGCAGAGAATTAACTGTTAAATTCGTCTACTAAGGATCTTACAATGAACCTGGGGTATATAGGGATGCTTGGTTGCCCAATGTTTGTATTTATCTATTCATTCTAGATCTAGATTTACGATCTTATCAGTTGCATGGAGTAAATTGGTTGATTGGTTGCTATAACAACAAACATGGATGCATCCTTGGTGATGAAATGGGATTAGGAAAAACATGTCAGGTACTGTTCAAATTTACGTTTTATTTTTGAGGAATTTATAGAATTGTACCGGCATGTGGTGCCATTTATATTATTGTTGAGTGTTAATACATTTTGTATAACTGGTTTGATTTATTAGTTTGAGAGGGGGTGGGGGACTGGGGCTAGATGGCAAAATGGTTAGCACATGCTTTTTGTATCATAAGGTCTGTCATTGATTCAACTGGCATGGTTTCAATTCCCCGGTTGTTCGTGACAAGTGGACATTAAACACTCTCTCTCTCTCTCTCTCTCTCTCTCTCTTTGTATTAGTTTGATTTTGTCCAATCTTTTTTTCCATAATGACCTATAGTACTTTTATAATATCAAAAACTATTTTTTCAGACAATAGCAGTTTTAGCATATCTGCGTAAAACACCAACAGTTTCCCCTCATCTAGTGGTTTGTCCAAGAGCTGTTCTAGAAAACTGGCAAGTTGAATGTAAGCGGTAAGTTTAGATTGAATCATGCTGTTGCTATGAAATTATTATTTGCACAGAAAAATGGATTAAATTTCTTTTGTAATATTCTCAGCACTTTTTAAGTCATCTTGTGGGTTTGGCTGACTTTGAACGATTTCCTGAAGGTTCTTCAACATGTTGAAAAAGAACAAAAATAAAGTTTGTATCAATTTAAAGACCACTGGATATACAAGTTCATTATCACACATCACAGTAAAAAATCCCAAATGTCATGTCTAAGAGAGTAATTGCTGAATTTTTAATTTGATGTCTTTGCTGACATAGTTAAGTTACTGGGAACTTCAAACTTATAGAGTTGTTTCAGTAGAGACATCTCTAATATATGTAAATAACCTTAATAACAGATATCCTGCCCTTTTTCAGATTTGCTCCTCAACTGAAAGTGACTGCTTTAATCGGAGCAAAAGATTACAGAAAAGAATTATGTGATGACTTAAAGAAGAAAGCCAAATCAGGGGAATACCCCTTTGATGTTTTACTTACCACGTATGAGGTATTGTTAATAGATACATGTATTGAAAATTGTACTATAGGACTTTGCAATGAACAACATCTGATTATTTTGATAGTGCGAAAAGGTCAAGGTCCCGTGTACACATTGGGTTCAATCTGTTTCACAGAGAATTACTGAATGGCACGAGCATTGTTTACATAAGACGTTACTGCTTCGGGCGGAATGCTGCCTTTTAGTCATTTTAATACCCATTTACACTAAATAGGAAATAATTTGTACCTACAAATACGTCAAACGCCTTTATTTATTTTTCCAATACATAAAAAAAAATGTTTTAGAATTTAATTTGTCGCAGGAAAAAAGTTAATATTTCTGGCTCATTAAGTCGCATCGATGTCATCCTTATCAGTGATTGTAGCGGCCTAGCGAAAATTCACTGCTGATCAGTGTGCATTGGGTTAAAGTAAATGTTTTGATGCTGTATCAGGATGTAGTCCACCATTAGATTTTTTACCTATAAGGTTTTTAATGCAGCTGTATGGGTAATTTTTTTCAGATTTGTTTAAAAGATCACAGTTTTCTACAGAGTATACCATGGCATATTTTAGTTGTTGATGAGGCTCACAGGTTAAAAAATCATCAATCTCTTCTTTATACTACACTTGAACAGGTAAAATATCATCAATACCTTCTCTATATACTACACTTGAACAGGTAAAATATTGTCAATACCTTCTTAATAATACACTCGAACAGGTAAAAATCCATCAATCTCATCTTTATACTACACTCGAACAGGTAAAAACACATCAATCTCTTCTTTATACAACACACAAACAGGTAAAATTAATATCATCAATCTCTTCTTTATACTACACTCGAACAGGTAAAATATCATCAATCTCTTCTCTATATACTACACACGAACAGGTAAAATATCATCAATCTCTTCTTTATATACTACACTCGAACAGGTAAAATATCATCAATCTCTTCTTTATACTACACTCGAACAGGTAAAATTAATATCATCAGTCTCTTCTTTATATACTACACACGAACAGGTAAAATATCATCAATCTCTTCTTTATACTACACTCGAACAGGTAAAAAATGATAAATCTCTCCTTTATACTACACTCGAACAGGTAAAAGAGTTGACAGTTCTCGCTACAATAGTTAAAAAATAGATAACGTAAATAGAATATGCTGAAAATTTCAGTCAAATTGCTCCACTCTAAACTGAGATATTAGCTTTTGAATTTTAGGCCTAACCTTGATCATCATTACTAAAGTCGGTACAATAAAAAACAAAGTCTCAATTATCCATTTTAACGTTTAATTATTTTTCCAAAAATGTATTCCAATCAGCTAAATATCCCAGGCTAGCGATGGCATTGAGAGTTGATTATGGTCTGGATAAGTTAATTAATGTCTAATTAATGATTTAGATAACATTTCAGGCCTTAAGAAAGACCTGCAATAGGCAGATTTAGCTCTTGCATAATGTATGGTTAAAGTTGTTTTATCTGTAGTTTTTTTTTTAAAGAAAACGTTAAACCCATATTGCAAAGCTTATACTGCCACGTGGGGAAACCAAACTGCCAGAAGAAAACACTTGAGGTTAGGTATGCGACCCTACTCAAAGTGTGGGATCGAACCCACACCATTTCTCTCAATGACAGACCTTATGATCTAAAGCCCTTGTATTCCTGTCATATAAAGACAAATTGAGCAAGACTATAGAATAAATGCTATTATTTGTGTTTCAGTGGGATGTATATCAGACTATTTTACTAACAGGGACACCAGTACAGAATAATTTAGCAGAACTTTACGCTTTACTAAGTTTTGTTGACAGGAAACAGTTCCAGCCTTCGAAATTAGATCAGTTTGTGGAGAAATATTCTAAACAAGAAAATAAAGGTTAGTTAACATGTGCTGAAATGAAATGAGGTTTAACATGTACCGACTGGGTTAATGAAAATGGAAATGAAATTAGATGAAATGGGGTTTAACGTCCTACTGTTCTGCTCCGACTGGGCTAATGAAGACGCTCATGCGCCATGCAGTGTGCTATGAGGGAAATTTTGCCCGGGAAGTAGCACTATGGCCTACTCTTTATCGAATTCCAACTACCAACTGATCTTTTACGTGCACACCAATGTGTACATGAGAACTTGGTTTTTCGTCTCCTCCGTAGGACTAGACAGGTGTTCTTGTCACACCCTCCATCCTGCACCACTGACAAGGGGGATGTACTTCTTTTTATTCATGATAATGAATCATTTGACATCTAACTTTTCCAGAAATGTTTCACCATATAAATTTGTGCAATAAGTTGGAAATAAATTTTTTTTTTTTTTCATCTTTATAGAAATTGAAGAGTTGCATGAATTGTTTCACCATAAAAATTTGTGCAATAAGTTGGAAATAATTATTATGTTTTTCATCTTTATAGAAATTGAAGAGTTGCATGAATTGTTAAAACCATATTTATTACGAAGAACAAAGTCTGGTGAATTAAAAGATTTACCGAATAAATCAGAAGTCATTTTATACCATGGTCTATCACCATTACAGAAAAAACTTTATAAAGCCATATTAATTAAGGATTTAGGTAAATATTGTATATTTGATATAGTTTATTGATGTAATAAAACATCATAAAGAATATCTAGCGAGTGATTTAATGAAATGTGTGTTTGTAAAAGCTTTTTGTTTCATATTTTAACATGTGCACATGAAATCATAAGGTCTGTCATTGAGTTAAGTGGTGGGATTCCCTTCTTGTACTTTACAAGGAGTAGGGTTGCCTGTCCAACCTCATGGGTTTTCTCCAGGTCCTGCGGTTTCCTCATACTACTAAAGACCCCTTTGCACAGGCAAATTATTGAAATAAAATTAAATCATGTTAGGCCTGAAATGACCTAGTTTGTGTCGAGTGGACTTTAAACCCCATTTCTATCTCTCTCTCTTTATTATGGGTAATATGTTTATTGATATTTTCTAGATGTATTTGATAATTCAAATCCGAATGTGAAATCTACCAGTTTAATGAATATTTTGATGCAACTGAGAAAATGTGTGAATCATCCCTACTTATTTGATGGTAAGATTTTCTACTTTATAAACAGAATTTGTAACATTGACATCAATTCTTTTACAAAAATTCACATCAATTCTTTTACAAACTTTCACATCAATTTTTTAGCAAAAATCCACATAAATTCTTTTTAAATATTTCATTAAAATTTTTTCACAAAAATCCACATAAATTCTTTTTAAAATTCCATATAAATTCGTTTACAAAATTTCAAGTACCAGGTATGTTCCTTTACAAAAATTTACATAAATTTTCCCAAAAAGTTCGCATAAATTTTCCCAAAAAGTTCGCATAAATTTTCCCAAAAAATTCACATAAATTTTCCCAAAAAATTCACATAAATTCTACAAGAAAATTCACATAAAATCTACAAAAAATTCATATAAATTCTACAAAACAAAAATTCACATGCCCATAAATTCTACATAATTATTACTAAAACAAGTTTTGAACTGATACAGGATTTGTACAACATATTTCACTATTTATTGTTAGAAAAAATAAACCAAAACTTTTCTCCTACAGGTATGAATTTTAAGTGGTGTAATTGCTTTTAGATGTTGCATGCATTGTTAAACTTTTTTGTCATCAAATGTTCAATTTCACATTTAAGGAGTTGAACCTGAACCGTTTGAACTGGGAGACCATTTAATAGAGGCTAGTGGGAAATTAGTCTTGATTGACCAGTTATTAGGTCATATGAAGAGAAATGGTCATAAAGTATTAATGTTTTCACAGATGACCCACATGTTAGATATATTACAAGATTATCTGGGATATAAAGGTTAGTTACTTTTAAAATTAAATCATTATTTTATAGAAGCTAGTGATAAATGGTTGTAAAGTTTAGTGTGAAAGTGACATTATTTTATAGAAACTAGTGATAAATGGTTGTAAAGTTTAGTTTGAAAGTAAATGAATAGGGAGAGTGTATTTTCAGGCCGGTTGGGGATGCTGAAGTTTCCACTAGCTGATTTAGACAACTCAAGGTGTAAGGGTCGGGTGGGGGGTACGTAAATCTAACACTGAAAATAAATTCCACGTTTACCCAGGATTCCTGATAAAAGCTATTTCTGTATTGAAACAGCCTCCCCAACTGGCATCATATATCCTCCCCAACTGGCTCGACCACCCGAAACTCTCTGAAAATATACAACACCAAATGCATCATTATATGGAATCCATTTCCTCAATATTTTGAAAAAAAAATATCTTTAAATGTATTGACTGTACACAAATGTAATTCTCATACAGTTCATTTAAACTTGACCAGCGGACACCAAACTTTAGAACATCATGATGTATACCAATTTTACAAAAGGCCTTTGACCCTATGATGAAATAAGATCTGTGTTTCAATCATATCGGATATATACATGGTATTTATTTTGTAGGTTATACATATGAAAGATTAGATGGATCAGTCCGAGGTGAAGAGAGATTTCTCTCCATACAGAAATTTAATCAAAACGAGGAAACATTTGTTTTTCTTCTCAGTACCAAAGCAGGTATGTACATCGTTGTTCTAAATTAGAAAACCAGTTTCATATTAAAAGGAATCACGATATCAGTGGACGGACGTTTCAGCCATTGGACGTGTCGGCCTAGGATGTTTCAGCCAGTGGACATTGTGGCCTAGGACGTTTTAGCCAATTTTACAAAAACAATTTAGACAACTTTTTACATATGAATTTAAATTTATTTCTGTATTAGTGTCCATCTTAAAAATTAATGAAATATTTTATTTTTTTTATCACCCTCAGTGAAACGAACAGTTATTCAATCAGTAAAGGGAGAGAGAGAGGGAGAAATGGGGTTTAATGTCCACTCGACAAACTAGGTTATTTCGGGACTAACATTTGGTTTAATTTTATCTCAATAATTCGCTTGTGCATAGGGGGTCTTTAGCAGTGGGAGGAAACTGGAGGACCCGGAGAAAACCCACGAGGTTGGACTGGCGACCCTACTCCTTGTCATGTACAACCGGGGAATCGAAACCACACTAGTTGACTCAATTACAGGCCTTATGATACAGCGCATACATGCTAACCATTCGGCCATCCACCCCCCCCCCCCCCCAATCAGTATAGCAGTGAATTTGCGTGTGTTTAATTGTTAATGGAACTACACTGAACCATAAAAATATATCAAATAGGGGACACTGAACATTTTTAGGATGAATTTGTGTTTTTATTTTATTAGGAGGACAGGGTATTAATCTGACTTCAGCTGATACAGTGATATTTGTTGACAGTGATTTTAATCCACAGAATGATTTACAAGCTGCTGCCCGAGCTCACAGAATCGGACAAAAAAGGTATGTTTATTATACATAAAATTTACCCGGTGGTCATTTAAATTTGAGGGGGTTTTATGGCTGAGTGGTCTAACAGATGCGCTTTAGATCATAAGGACGCCTGTCTAACCTTGTGGTTTTTTCCGTTTCCTCCAGTTTCCTTTTGCTGCTCAAGACCCCTACGTGCAGGTGAATTATTGAAATAAAATTGAACCTGGAATGTCATGAAATTCCATCTATGATAGTTTTAGGCGTGGAAGTCCTGGAATTTTCCCCTCCATCCAGTAATCACCTTTTCCCCAAAAATTGATCCCATTTATTCAATTTGTAAAACTTTTACAAAAGAAAAACACAGTAAAAAAAAGACCCAAAAGTAAACATACTTTCTTAGTCTATTTTGTCCAGCACCAGTCATTGACTGTTTACAATTATTATTTTTTGCTTGATAATCTGGACTATGTACTGTAACAGTCTCGCAACTAATTATGAATAATACCATGGATGATCAAGGTCAACCACTATGTGAATTTTATTATATAAACCAATGTCAACCCTTTGTGTGTTTTATTTCACGCTGATTGTAATGTCATGGCATAGAAAACAACACATACACATGAAAACAGATTAACAAAATATAATAGACTTTATCAATGACATGCGTCAAATAATTTGTTGTAGCCTGATCTAACGACTAGGCTGAATTTTGGTCTTGGAAAATGCTCTTTTTGATCTTGGAAAATGCCCTTTTTGGTCCTGAAAACTCATGGAAAAGTCATGGAATTTCATTCACATTTTAGTATACGAACCCTGAATGAATAATTAGTATTTTGAGGAACTTTGAACCAAAGCTTTGGTACTCTTTGGTAATTTTCAGAGCAGTGAAAATCATCCGTCTGATTGGTCGTCACAGTGTAGAAGAAATTATATTAAAACGAGCCGAAGATAAACTAAAATTAACAGAGAAAGTTATTGAGAGTGGACAGTTTGCGTTAGGAAAACAACCATTATTCGCTTCAAACAAATCAGAGGTATGTTATATATTGAATGGCTGAATGGTTAGCACGTGCGTGTTGTATCTTAAGATCTGCCTTTGAGTCAACTGGCCTGTTTTTGATTCCTCGGTCGTACGTAACAAGGAGTAGGGTCGCCTGTACAACCTCGTGGGTGTTTTCCAGGTCCTCCTAGTTGCCTCCCACTGCTAAAGACCACTACGTGCATTATTGAAATAAAATTGATCCATGGGATATGTTAATCCCGAAATGATCTAGTTTGTGTCGAGTGGACATTAAACCCCATATCTCTCTTTCTCTCACAACCGCTACCTTGAGGCCACTTTCTGCATGTGATTTTTACTATATATTTTCCAATCAAGACAAATTGTTTCGTGTTTTTAGCTACAAGATGTGTTAAGATTTGGAGCAGAGAAATTATTGAGTGATGAAGAGGATAAAGAAGATGATTTTAGAAAGATTCTTGGACCAACACTTGAAGGGGAATGGACGCTGGACGAAGACAAAGATGTGAGTTGCTATATATATATATTATTATAACATACCAAACCATTCAAGATATATTTATGAAACTTTGTACACACATAAACACATTATAGTAGTTGTGCCTTTTGCTAATTAGTAATTTCTCATATATAATGATTTTTATATTAACAGGGAAATAAATTTGACTTATCGTTAGTATACATGGGATGTTGACGACTGATGGTCTTATTGCTATAGAGTTTATTTAAATAGTTTCCTCTCACTGCTAAAGACCCCTATACGCGCAAGTGAATACAGAAATAAAACTAGACCATATGTTAGTCCCAAGATGACCTGGTTTGTGTCGAGTGAACTTAAACCCTCTCTCTCTCTCTCTCTCTCTCTCTCTCTGAATGAAAAATTATATTAAAGAACAACTCAGCCCCCCAAGATATAGGTATCATCAAAGTTTTCTTCCTATAATGAATTAAACTCTTATATAGGTTGAATCATTGGAGTTAGAAGAAGGAATAGAAGATGGACCACAGAGTATGTACATGTTTGAAGGTACAGATTACAGTAATGAACCAACAGCCGAAGATAGAAAAGCTTTTGATGCACTTATAGAAGGTAATCATGTGAAAGTTATTAATACAGGATATTGAATGAAATTGAACCATATTTGGACTGTTATTCCTTGTAAATTCAACTCCACAATATTGTAGTTTCTTGTAATGAAATGGGGTTTAACGTCCTACTGTTCTGCTCCTATACTGGGTTAATGAGAGAAATTTTGTCCGGGCAAAGGCACTATGGCCTACTCTTATATTGAATTCCAACTGCCAAGGGATCCTTTATGTGCATGCCAATGTATACACAGGACCTCGTTTTTTCCATCCCATCCATACGACTAGACAACTGTCCTTGTCAGGCCCTCCTTCCTGCACCACTGACAAGGCCAAACCACGTCGGAAATGTAGTTTGTTTAAAACCCCTCAATCGACCATTTGCAGATTTAATGTTTTACATAAAGTTTTTGACAGTTGGAAGATTGTTAGGAGGCCACAGTTTATAACTTAATCGCAACCATTTCCTGAAACCTGCAAAGAACACATAACCAGAAGAACAGAATTACCAGACAGAGTCTCTCTTGACTTCATTCCACTTTTATCTGGCAAGAAACATTTTTTAAAATATGAACTCTAAATAGTGGAAAAAATAATATTAGACTACAATGTACAACGTGGATAGGGGGGTTGGATGACCGAATGGTTAGCGTGTGCACATTGTATCGTAAGGTCTGTCATTGAGTCAACTGGCGTGGTTTCGATTCGCTGGTTGTATGTGACAAGGAGTAGGGTCGCCTGTCGAACCTCGTGGGTTTTCTCCTGGTCCTCCAGTTTCCTCTCCCACTGCTAAAGAACCCTACGTGCAAGGGAATTATTGAAATAAAATTGAACCATATGTTAGTCTCGAAATGACCTACTTTGTGTTGAGTGGATGTTATACCCGATTTCTCTCTCCCTCGCACAACATGGATATAGTCAAAATTGTGATATTTTAAATAATGCCCAGTTTACTGTTTTTTCTAGCTGAACGTAAAATATTAGAAAGTCATGTGACTGGAGAACGAGCAATGAGGAAAAAGACATCTGTTTTAATTGGAGCGTTACCAGAGATTATACGAAAACCACGAAAACAACTAACACCACAACAATTAGAGGAAAGAAAGATAAAGGTACATTGCGAAAATCTTTACTACTGCTTGGACACTTTGCCTTCAGATGGGTGTATGTTTCGTGGCCTGGCAAGCTATGTTGCTTTATTTATTGGAAAAGTACTTGTGGTAGTGATTTATAGCCCTTGAGAGGCATTTAGCAATTGATTTATGATATAATACTAGAACACCTATTATGGATACAATCACTTGGTTTATTGTACTGCAAGATTTCACAAGTCGTTTTCAAGCAAATACCTAATTGTATCCATACTAAATGTTCTAGTATTAGATTTATATAACCTACAATTTGCCTAAAGAATCAAAATTAAGGAGATTTGTGTTGGATGTATTTTAATAAGGGGGACATCCTCCTTTATATTTATCATTATTGCCGATGTGACTATGATCTGAACCTTGAAACCACTGAACACCTTCTACTCTATTGTCCTAAGTTTTTATTTATTTATTTGAATCATAGGGGGGTTGGGATGGCCTAGCTGTCCGGTCACCTCTGGCTTGCGGCTGTGGTTTCGATCCCTGTTGTGAGCGTATGTGACTTGGAGATAGGGGCGCCTTCTCAATCTCGTAGGTTTACTCCCACAGCAAAGATCCCTGCACGTGTGCTAAGATAATAAAAGTGACAAATAAGACAACTAGTCTGTGATATCACCTTCGGTGGAAACGGACGTTAAACTCTAAGAACAACAACAACCACATTTGAACCATAGCCAAAATATTGTTTTGTATCTATTACTTTAAATTTTACATATATTATAGATCGTACTCACAACGAAACAAATAGATATAAGCCCCTTCTTAATGTCTTTGAATTGTACAATCCGAAATAAGTTTGTTTTAAGCGATTCTATTAATTCACAATTTTTAAAAAGAAAAACCTAAAACTGCGACTGATATTAACTATTGATCCAAACAAATACTTGATGGATTTTCTGAATTATTTTATTATAGAGAAAAGAGGCAGCAGAAAAGCGAGCTAAATTAGCAGAAGAAAAGGAAATTAGACGAGCTCAGGAACAACGTAGAATGAAGTAAGTTTATTATTACATACAAGAAAATTCTATAAATAATGAAAATACGTGCACATTGATCAGACTTCAGAATTCAGTGTGGCTCTAATCTCAGATGTTTCTACATATTTTATCTTAATTCGAAGTGAAGTAAAATGCCCAATAGAGCTTTATGATTTGTCATTCCTTTAGTTTTGATGCCCAATAAGAGGTTCGTGATTTATCGTTCCTTCAGTTGGGATGCCCAATACAATGAGAACTTTATCATCTCTCATTCCTTCAGCTGGGATGCCCAATGAGTACTTTATCATCTTTCATTCCTTTAGTGTTGATGCCCAATAAGAGCTTTATAATTTGTCATTCCTTCAGAACTTTATGATTTGTCATTCATGAACCTACTAATTTTAAAAATTAACTCCAGAATACTTCTTTATTAGATTTGATATGTGGAAATCCATGAAGTATTCAACATGTAATATAGCTATAGATAGTGAAGATGATGAAGATGGAGATGATGGTGAAGATGAAGATGATGTTAGTGACGATGAGACGACACAGAGATCTATAAAATATGTCAGTGGTGACGTCACTCATCCTATTGACACTGACAATAAACACAACATCATTGTACATTGTGCAGGTAACAGATTAATTTACTCAGTCAAAAAAAATAATTCTATCTGTTGTATAAAACTGCATGATTATTTTGTTATCTTGCGCCAAACATCATCAAGGGAAGGATACAGAAATAAATAGGCTTCATTTATCCTAGCATTTGTTTCCTGAGCATATCTCATAAGGCGTTCGGGGGGGGGGGGGGGGAAATGGCCGAATGGTTTGTCATGGTATTGAATCCCCGGTTGTACCTTACAAGGAGCAGGGCCGCCTGTCCAACCTCGTGGATTTTCTCCGGGCCCTCCCACTGCTAAAGACCCCTAGGCGCAAGTGAATTACAGAAATATAAAAAATTGAACCATGTGTTAGTCCCGAAATGGGCTAGTTTGTGTCGAGTGGACGTTTAACCCCATTTCTCTCTCTCTCTCATAAGGCATTTAAGATATCTTTATGAAACTTTGAATATAAATCTACCTATTATAGTAGTTATTCCTCGGATGTAATATTGTGGTGTTGCCATGGAAATAAATTTGATTTAGTTTTTCTTGTATACAAGAAGTTTATAAATGTTTGTTTTAGATGATTCTGGACGATGGGGTAGAGGAGGTTTATTTTCTGCAATATCATCACGTTCACCACAACCAGAGAAACAGTATGTGCTGGCTGGTAAATGTCAAGGTTTGTATTCTACTATTATACCTTTCTTTTTAATGATTTTAAAAATCTTGTGTACATTAACTTTTGTTTTATATTTAAGGATGCATTATTCAAGAGCTAAATCTGGCTCGTGCAGATTTTTCATTTGGCATCAAATCTTAAATAAATCATTAATTGGACATGTATTTACATGCCAGGCCCATAAACAACTCTCTATTATAGATTTAGCTCTAGGTGATTGTCATTTGGTTCATATAATATATCTATTGTAGATCTAGCTCTAGGAGATTGTCATCTGATTAATATAGATGATATAGAAGGAAGGGAAGATGGTGAAGATCTGGTAATTATATCTTTCATCACTTTATTAATTTATACCTTTTTGACATATATGGAACTGAATCTAGTTTAAAGGGGAAGACCAACGATTTTCAACAAGGTTTCCATAAATCTTAAACATATATTCATATATAATTCCTCTGTAACACAAGCAAAAATATTTTTGTTAGCGAGAAATTAATTTTTATTATAACCGTCCCATTGGTCAGATTATCATCCAAATCACGACACATGAACAAAATACAGCAGCAAACTTATGCCAAATCTGTATGCTTACTATAGAGACCAGTGAGTGTGTTGAACCAACTACATCACTTCCGGTTTTAATAAAAATTAATTTCTCGCTTACAAAAACATTTTTGCTTGTTTTACAGAGGGGATTATATATGAATATATGTTTAAGATTTATGAAAACCTAGTTGAAAATCATTGGTCTTCCCCTTTAATTCTTTCCTGATAATAAAAAGAGCATTTACCATATTCATTCAGTATTACTTTTGCTTTTGAATAGTATAGTGATAAAGTTCTAAAAAAAAATTAACATTAAAGAAAATTATATTATCATGTATTTGTTTATTTCTTCAGCTTGGTTTGATTATAGCACAACATAGAGACAAGAGAAATAATTTATCTGGTATCAAATTATCAGCTTTACGACTCGGACTCGAGAAAATATATGTAGTTGCTAAAGCTAAAAAAGGTGGGTCATTTATAAATGTGGTTTAAAAGGCACATTATAGTCACAATGTTCAAGTAAACTGTTTTCAATCAAAATCCTAGATATTTTGAATTTGTGTAATGTTTTGTAATTTGAAAAGTTTCCCCGTACATGTTATCTTTAATTTCCTTGTTTCAGCCAGTGTTCATCTACCTAGAATAGGTCATGATACCCCCGGTTTTAATTGGTATGGTACAGAACGTCTCATCAATAAAATACTTACATCTAGAGGCATACCAACATACATGTATCCTTTTAATTTATCATCATGGTTTAAGTTAGTCCTCTTACCTCACCCACCTCAAACTCAATGTAAGGCGTCTAAGGGCCCAAAGTTGGAAATGGCATCCATTCTACAGAGTTCCTTTTTTCCAAATATTTGGCACTCATGAATTGTCACTACAACACTTCAGTTTGGAGATATTTGAAAATTCGGGACCAATACAGCAGAAAATCCTGGATCCTCCTATGATTGAATATTTATTTTAACTAATTTATTTCGGCAACGTTTCAACAATTATTGTCACACTGTTTTCAATTATGACATTCTTTTGCAGCTTATTTATGTAATTTTCTTAATATGTTTGACGTTGTCCTTTAGCAAGGGTTTAAAAATGTATTTTACACTTTGGTTATATACTAATTGTAGCACGACTACTGGGAGAGTGATGTAGGGTCAGTTGGCAGGGGTCTTTACCTCATAAGAGGCATTGTTGGGGGGCTTTGGTAAGGATTATCGATGTTGTATAGTGTGTAAAGCACAAAATAACTAATATTTGAAAAAATGTAAATAAATAAAATGCAGATAACTGAAACCATACAGAAATTTGTATTTAACACAGGTTACAAAAATACTTAATGAGCAGTTGAAAATGAGGCCTACATTTCCCTTCAGGCCTAGGCCTGTTACCAGCTTTGAATTTACCCAATTGTACAGGTGACTTCCATTTGTGTAAAGAGATTATCGAAGATTAGTAATCATATGTACATTCATATAATATTATTATCATACTTAATAATCTTAGTTATTATTTTCCACGTAAACATTCTTTAAAGAGAAAACCATCTTCTAACAGTGAGAGTAATGAAAGCAAAGGTAAGACAACTTATTGATAAATAACAGTTTTTATATGATATGAACTTTTATTTTCAAAATCGTCTTTAGACATTAACATTTTGTTTCTGTCTTAAACATTTTCTAGTCATTCTGATGGGACAAAAAAAAAAGGTCCTGTGTACAAATGCATGCACATGAAAGAACGCTTGACAGTTGCAGTTATTAATAAGAGTAGGCTGTAGGGATGCTGTCAGGGTAAAATATTCATCATAGCAAGGGGGTTGGATGGCCGATTGGTTAGCATGTGCGAGCTGTATCATAAGGTCTGTCATTGAGTCAACTGGCATGGTTTCGATTCTCTGGTTGTACGTGACAAGGAGTAGGGTTGAGTGTCCAACCTCGTGGGTTTCCTCCGAGTCCTCCGGTTACCTCCCACTGCTAAAGACATCTATGCGCAAGCAAATTATTGAAATAAAATTGAACCATATGTTAGTCCTGAAATGACCTAGTTTGTGTCGAGTGGATGTTAAACCCCATTTCTCTCTATCTCTCCCTCATAGCACACTGTATGATGTATGCCCATCTTCATTAACCCAGTCCATGCAGAACAGTAGGACGTTAAACCCCCATTTCATTTTCAAAATGATATATAATGATGTTGAATCATGGATATTTAACAAATTTTGTAGTCCAGAAAAAATCAACAAATGACAGATTGAGTTCATCACCAGAACCAAGTACATCCTCAAGTCATCAGAATTCAACCAATAATGATGAAGATAACAACCGGAAGAAATCAACCAATGAGGAGTTGTCTAGTATATTTGAAGATCAGTTGATTGTTCTCCATGGTTTACCAGAAGATAAAGAGAAACATTATAAACGATATATTGTTGCATATCCTTTAATATCAGAATTAGATATATCTGTTCATGTCATATCAATTTGAATATTCGCACAGATGTATGCCAGAACTTACCAATATAATTCAGAAACATGCTTTGAATGGCATTTAATAATTGGAACATAATCGAATAACACACTATTTATGGATAACAATTACTATGGTTTATTTCACTGCGACGTTTCAACAAGATTTCACAAGTCGTTTTCAAGTATATAACGTGTTTATTTCACTGCGACGTTTCAACAAGATTTCACAAGTCGTTTTCAAGCATCTTGAAATAAACCATAGTAATTTTTATCCATAAATAGTGTGTTATTCGATAATTCAGAAACACCAGATTAATTAAAAAGACGTCATTTTACCATGTAAAAAGTAGTCTTTTGCAAATCAACAAATGCTGCCCTTTTGTAACATATTGATTGAGACAGCCAAGTGCAAACAACGTGGGGGATCACGGTGGCCAAGTGGGTAACCCGTGGGCTTGCTAGCCTGTAGGTCGGGTGGTTCCCCCTTGTCAGTGATGCAGGAAGGAGGGCTGAGAAGGACAGCTGTCTAGTCGTTCGGATGGGACAAAAAACTGAGGTCCCGTGTACACATTGGCGTGCACTTGAAAGATCCCTTGACAGTTGGAATTCGATATAAGAGTAGGCCATAGTGCCACTGTCCAGGCAAAATTTCCCTCATAGCACACTGTATGGCGTATGCCCATCTACATTAGCTAAGTTTGGAGAAGAACAGTAGGACGTTAAACCTCATTTCATTGCGAACGATGTAAATCTTGAACTGACTAATGGCACACCAGGTGCTTTGCTTGTTAAAAGTCAGTTGAGACAAATTTACATAACTTGACTTCTTTAATTCTCATAACAAATGAAATGATAAATTGCCTCAGATAAATTATTATACACTTCCATCAAACTCCAGAATGATTAATCGATCGCAGCCTTGATTTAGTTTTAAAATTTATTATCCTTAATTTTTGAAACTTATGATGGTGATATCGGAAGTAAGGTTACAGATTATACCACACATGTTGTTGTTCAAGATTCTGCATCAACTGAGGTATGTGTAACATACATTATGCAAGAGCTAAATCTGCCTATTGCAGGTCTTTCTTTAGGGCTGAAATGTTATCTTAATTATTAATTAAACATTAATTAGCTTATTAAGACCATAATCAACTCTTGACTCCAATATTAAATAGATTAGAACGGTTCAGCCATATTTTGATTTAATTTAAAAATGGAGAAGCGAGAATTAGCTTTGATCAACCAGTACGTTGGTTGAAATTGTTGCACACATCTTGTCAAACCCTCAAAGGCTAATATCTTCGCTCGCAATAGAGTAATTTTCGAACTATTACAACAAGAATGGCTAGCTCTTTATCTAAATCTTACATAATGTATCTTTAAGCTTTATAAGTTTTATTTATCGAATAATGCTTTTTTTTGTGGAGTAAAACAAGTTTGTTTTGCCATAATGATTGCAGTGAATCAATTAATCAGTTATTGTTGACTGGTATTACTTTTTTTTTACTGTATATCCCACTTTATTTACAGGATATTGCCAGTGTAAGAAAACAGAATAGCTCCGTAGCCATAGTAACAACACAGTGGTTAGATGATTGTTTATCTAAGAGAAGATATTTACATACTGAATCATATTTAGTAACTGAACATTGAAAAAACAATTAATGTCAAATTGGTGTTAGTTTTTCTAAAACAACATTTTATGCACGAGCAGTATCCCTATATATCAGCAGTTGCCAACCTTTTGTTTGGTGTGCGACCCCATTCCAGAAACCATCATCTGATCACGGCCCCTCAAAGAAAAAAGTCACCTTTACAATTTGGCAACTTATTGTTTACACTTTTACAGTTATAAAAATTGAGCAAAGACGATTGACAATATGACAAGAGATGTATGGTATAGATCAGGGAATTATATGCAATTCATGAAAACATAGCATTTTTTCAAAAGTTTCATAGTAGTCTGCAACAACCCCATGAAAAGTGCTTGGCAATCCCAGCTGGGGTCGCAAACCCAGAGGTTGGGAACTCAGGACTTATATTAAGAAACATTTTTATTTGCTAAAATTGAATAGATAAAATATAATATTTTATAACTTCCAGTTTTTCAGAAAATATGATTTGTTATTCTCAAATTGTGAAATATTGAAAAAAAAAACCTTGTTTCATATAATTCTTTTACACCCAGATCTGAGTTTCTTTAAGAGGAACTTTTTTTAAAATCTCCTATAACAAGAAATATCTTGAAACTTGTGATAATTATAAATGTTGAGATACCCTATATAGAAAGTATTATGACATATAAGTTCAAATTGTATTAATCGTTTTGTAACAAATCTAGTGCATGAGTTTTCTGGACCACAGTTGCCATTTTTATTGAGAAGTCCCCATAGCTAATGGTTCTTGTTTGTTGTATTTAAAAGATGACCAACAAAATAAATGTTTCATTTTATTTCATCAAGAGGCAGCAATAATTTTGTATTTTTTCATTTTATTTTTATTATGTTTTATATACCAACATTTGGTGTGTGGGAGTATGTTATTTTCACACCTGTCTGTGCATCAACCATTATTTTAAAGTCTCTAAAGGTTAAAGTTTGGAGGTGGTTTGAATTGGATTGTTTACCTTGTTATCAGTCAACATGAAATATTTCTGTAGTATAGGCCTACAGGTCACAATTCTATGGAATACAATTACTGAGCGATGTTTCGATTAGGCTTCTCTAGTCATTATCAAGCAATAACGTCGCTCAGTATAAGCTGTAATTGTACATGTATTCCATAGAATTGTGACCTATATACTCTAGTACATTTATTAAATGTCATTGAAACAATTGAAATATTTCTAGTCATTAGAAATCTGAACCCTGTAAAGAGGTGAATTTAGTACTATACTGACTGGACTTATGTTACAGTATTTTAATATGGCAATATATTTCATTACAAAAATCTTCAGCCAGGTTTCAAACTTACATCTGACAGATATCTAATATATCACTTCAAATCATCTACCTTTTTAGTAAGGCCAGCCATAACTTGATATGGGTTTGCACCTGCAAGGTTAACAAGGGAGGTGTACCTATTTGTGTAGATGGGACCAATAAAAAAACGAGGTTTATACACGTAAGGGAACCCTTGTCGTCTACTTAAAATTCTATGTCACATTTCACACCTAACCATAGAAATAAAAACATTTTTGTCACATGGGGGGTTGAGTGGTTATCATGTGTGCGCTGTATCATAAGGTCTGTCACTGAGTCAACTGGCGTGGTTTTCATTCCCTGGTTGTATGTGACAAGGAGTAGAGTCGCCTGTCCAACCTCATGGGTTTTCTCTGGGTCCTCCGGTCTCCTACCATTACTAAAGACCCCTACACGGAAGAGAATTATTGAAATAAGATTAAACAGTATGTTAGTCCCGAAATTACCTAGTTTGTTTCAAATGGACGTCAAACCCCATTTCTCTCTCTCTTTTTTTGTCACATAACGAAGGAAGTATCGAATTGACAAGACATTAAAACCCATTCCAAATGTGTGGTTATATTTTTGTTATATATATATATATATTGTTATTTCATAATTAATCATTGTCTATGTGTGGTAATACTTCTGTTAAAATATGTATTGTTAATTTAAATATTATGGAAAATATTGAGTTAGCTCCTTTAAAGTTACAATTTCATATTTTCTAAGAAAGTCAAAACATAATTATTTCTATGTCTTTTGCTCAATAGGTTGTCAACTCACTATTATACAATCATAGGTTATCTTTCTGACACTTAAAAATCTTCACACCGAAAATAATAACACAATTACCCCCCTTGTTTTCCTATTCCCCACCATGGAATAGCTATCTTCAAACGTTTGAATTTGAAGTTGAAAATGATATTTTTGCCAATTTCTCAACTGGCAATAGTGAATTCTAGGATTAATAGGATTATTCTTTAACAAGGTAGGACTGTTTATAGATACCATGTATTTTAGGACTTTATTTTAATACATTTTAAAAATATAACTTAAAAATATGAAATTGTAACTTTAAAGTATGTATTGTCATTTCATAAATAAACATTGTCTAATAAAACACAATTTGTGATATATTTATATATGCTGTTAATCTTAATAAGAAATTATTCTATTTATAACTTGGGGGTGGGGGCACTGGTTTAACTTGTGCTAGTGCACTAATATCACTAGGTCTGTCATTGAGACCAGCGTGTTTTCGATTCCCAGCTTGAACGAGACAAGGAGTATTGTCACCTATCCACAAGCGAAATATTGAAAGGATATTGAACCATATGTTAGTCCCGAAATTACTTAATCTGTGTTGAGTTGACGTGAAACCCCTATTTCTCTCTCTATATAACTCTGGTGGCAGAGGGCTTTATATCCAAAAATACCCATCAAGCTGTGTTTATCAACACAGTGAATGTCTGGTTTGAGGAATTCATTTTTTTTATTTCTGATATTGACTGTTTGATAATAACCTCTGTTGGTTTGACAGTAGTTCTGACGAGAACAGTTATGGAACAAATAAGCCCCCCACCTCCCGAACAAACCTGTGTTGATACTTGAATATTGTAGGCTCAGGAATCCATGAAGAAGATGTGGTCTCACATAGTTTGGGGGTCCTGTTTTTATGTTTTGATTTACTTTTTATAGTTTTGAAGTTATGTTGTTTTTGATGAATTGGCGAGACTGCTTCACGCTAAATCTTTGCATACACTAGAAACATCAGCATATAGAAAGCACCATTTACCAACCCCTACCTCACTGGACCAGACTCAGGTGCCACCAGTGCCCAACTGATCGTCTAATATAAAGGAACATATTTCAAAATAGATTTCTATAGTATTACCTCCCTTTCTGAATTTGGTTTAAACACTAAGGCCCATTTTCCGCTAGCAAAAAAGTTGATCTAATGCAAATGTAATGGGACCATTTCCATGTAACATGTACATGAAAAACAGGCTTCAGTAATCAGCTACAAAACCCATGAGATACTTGGACAAAGCTGGACTGTAGTAAAAGATATAGGTTTAATGCCCACTCTACTTTTACAGAATTATTTCACTTGACACTGTAAAGAATCTCAGATTACAATTTCCGATCAAGGGTTCCAAATAATAAATTCAGTTTAATAGTAAAATACAACAAGCTACAGTATTAACATTTGAGTATTAATAAAAATACTGATTATTTTCAATACATCTTCATACATCAACAGTTTGATCAAAGATGTCATCAATTCATTTTTAAATAAGAATTATCTATAAAATGTCATAAATGCATTCATAAATAAGAATTACTTTTACAGATACAATCATTGTATATAATCTTGAGAATTCATGTGAGAGCAAAGCCTTTTTATTTGCCAAGTCTAGAGTTGTGACAATCGTTGTATAGGGTTTCAGTTGCCATTTTGACTTGTGTAAACAGAAACACCAGCAGCTTTGCCTTTTCTCTAAATCTAATGTTGAGAGATGCCAAAATCCATGTTTTTGCATAGCAATGTCAAAGGTCAGTTGGGTTAAAACTTTTAATGATTACAATCATACTTTGGACCAGGAACTGACCATTGTTGGATGAAATCTTAATTCACCAAATCGATTCAGAATTGTTCAAAGAAGCATGCCAATTTTCATGTCAATCGGACTGGATTTGACGGAGACTTAGACTTTTTTGAAGAGTGTCGCCCCAAGAAGAAGAAAAACAACAACAAGATGAGCAGCAGTTAGCGACCAGTTAATGATCCAAAAATAGCGTGCGCGCTCTATCACATCTGTAACATATGTCCTGTCAGTAACTTACCGAGGGAACTAAAGAATATTAATATAGGAACTATTATTAAAACAATTGTTAATTATAGAACTGTCTACATCCTATATACCCTGAACTGTACTTTAATTTCATAATGAATGCTTGTCAATCTGAATAAAACACAGATCCTATTTCATTTCATTTTTATAGTTCAAAATTTTATTTTACTTGTCTTAACTACACTAGGATCTGGAAAGATTTGTAATATAACTCTGTTCTGGATGATGTGAGGGATTAGCCAATTGTTATAGGCTGATTGGTTAATCAAATGACTGACAGCATAGGATCAAAAGCCACAGGTATGACCCCTGATGCAACCTTCCACTACACCTGGTCAAATCGTCATGTAGTAGAGGCCATCAAAAGTATAAAAAAATGAAATGAAATATAGATCTGTATTTTAATCAGATTGAATGCTTGTGAAAATTTCTTGATCTGGATTTGGCATTATATAAATGGACATATTATTTTTCAGAGAGGTCAAAATGAGTAACTTAAAAAATAAATACTTGTAAGAGAAGAATGCTAACTATATTGTATCTATATAGACATCAAACAGACTGAATGTTCAGCACTAGAAATTTATTATTATTATTATTATTATTATGTAATAGTGATACATAATCTGAATTCATTAATAATTAATTTTAAGACTGTCAAAATTCTGGACTACTTTCTCTGTTAAATGTTTGATTCAGTAAATATTTGGGTTGGTTGTAGTTCAATAGTTTCTGTTCCATTATACAATCTGAAAAAAAAGACAAAAATATAAAATATTGTGATACCACCATTCATTGTTCAGGTGTATTAAAGCCATAATTTCATATTTTTAAAATGTATTAAAATAAAGCCTTAAAATAGGTGGTATCTATAAACAGTCCTACCTTGTTAAAGAATAATCCTATTAATCCTTTAATTCACTATTGCCAGTTGAGAAATTGGCAAAAATATCATTTTCAGATTCAAACGTTTGAAGATAGCTATTCCATGGGGGGAATAGAAAAACAAGGGAGGTAATTGTGTTATTATTTCCAAGGTGAATGGTTTTTAAGCGTGAGAATGATACCTATGATCGTATAACAGTGAGTTGACAACCTATTGAGCAAAAGACATAGAAATAATTATGTTTTGATTTTCTTAGAAAATATGAAATTCTCGCTTTAATAGGTTTTTGAAGATCATAAAACAAATATAGATAGGGGAGACCACCAAATAACCATCAGATTTTAATTTGCTTGGAGAAATCAACTCCAGAAATTATTATTGACATAGATCGGGTGTCAAATGATATCTAACTTGGGCACTCGGCAAACCTCGGCAGATTTCGGTACCCTACATCTAGCCTTGGCTGTATGACGTTAAGTGATGTGTACCTACGCCTATACAATTGCGATGCGGCACCGGTTTACTTATTAGGAAAACTTGCTGCTTTTAGAAAGAAGTTCTCAGAATTGCATCGTTCAAAGAGTGTGTAGAATTTTCAGTGCAAACTTGTCATTGTCTAAAGAAAATTGGATAAACTAACCCATTTTGATGTACTACAAGTTAAACACCCAGATTATTTAAAACATTTTCTGATGTGCCAAGGGAGATCACTCAACAACACTTGAAAAGAATGCCAGTTTAACATTTGGATTCAGACCACCGAAGATTCCCAAATAATTTCAGCCATGTGGAAGGATAACGTGAGTAAGGAGGGTTGTTATGTTAAAATGTGCAGTATATAGTTGCATTTTACTAGTATGCTATTTCCAGTTTGTGTATCTCTAGAATTCCATGATGAACCCCATACATGCTTTTGAGTGCTCAATCTATGGTACTGGTAGGAAGCGTTAAACCCAACAAAAATTTGGGTAAAATTCACAGCATGGCAAATTGAGCAGAATTAACATGTAAGTTAATGGAAAAATCTATGGTGAGCTGTGGCTATGTGCACATAATGTTCTTTATTTTATTTTGTCAAAATAAACTATTACACACAATAAAAGCCTGCATTGTTTACCAATACTATGAGGCTACTTTAAACAAGTTAGGGAAATTTATGTCCTGTAATATAATAACTAGGTACTCACCTAGAATCCAGACAGGTTTAATACTTGTTTTATTTCTGTTTGGATCATTACCAATAAATATATCACAACGACTAGCAGAACCAGTTACCTAATCAATATCAGATAATATGTAGATGTAATAAAATCACAGATAATACACAGATGTAATAAAATCACAGATGATACATAGATGTAATAAAAAACACAGAAGATACATAGATGTAATAAAATCACAGAAGATACATAGATGTAATAAAATTCCAAATTATACTGAATGTACATAAAATCACAGTAAAAACATAGGGAGAAACAAGATGTGACTGAAAATTTTAAAGTAGGGTCCTATCTTAGGTCCAATAATTGCTGCAAATTTGAAAACAAACTGACAGTAACTCAGCAATCAATTAATTGCAATAGCTCAAATTTTCAGTTTGTCATAGATCAAAAACAAATAACAATAACCTTCTAATATCTGTTAAACTAATTTGGTGCATATGAGAAAAATAGATTTGAATATTGAATGGATTTACTTTGTTTTAGATGTGTGAAATAATTACCTGGCCGCCACACAACCTGAGTAGATTGACCACTGCTGATCTCGGTGGTAAACATTTACTAGATATAAATACTGAACCAATATCAGTAAATAATGTCTGTTGATAATTCTTTCCTTGTAGCTGGCGTTCTTTCCTGGTTATCTATAATATAGTTTATTTAATAATAAGTATTTCATATCCTATGCTTGTCGTGTGTAGACTAGTAGCATGATATATCTAACTATACCAAAATCCAGCAATATTTTCACCCTTAATTCTAGTTTTTTTCTCAAAATAAAGCAAACACATTAAACATACATTATGCAAAAGCTAAATCTGCCAATTACAGGTCTTTCTTTAGGCCTGAAATGTTTTCTAAATTATTAGACTTTAATTACCCAGACCATAATCAACTCTCGATGTCATTGCTAGCCTGCGATATTTACTGGATTAAGATTTGATTTTCTGCTCAACTTTCAATCATGATTAAATCATGAAATGGATAATCGAGACTATGTCTTTTATCGTACCGACTTTAGTAATGATGATCGAGGATAGGCCCAAAATTCAATCGCTAAAATCTCAGTTCAGAGAGTGGATCAATTTGACTGAAATTTTCAGCAAATTGCCTTTACATTATCTATTTTTTAACTATTATAGTGAGAACTGCCAGCTCTTTATCTAATCCCCCACAATGTATCTTTAAATTTAACTGAGTATGTGATATCAGTAGATTAGGGGTAAATCATGTAGTCCTTTGCTCACAGATTTAACCTGACCAATAGCAAAAATCTATTTTTTTTTTTTTTTTACATCAAATGAACTCACACACTCAACAAAAAATATGATATTTTTCATGCTTTAACTAACCTTAACTTGAGGGAAAGTATCACAGAGTTCATAGTCTTCTTCATCCAGCCACTCTTCATTATCCAGTGATTTAAGAACCTAAAAAAGTAAATGAGATTATGCTAAATATTGATGCGCATATAATACTATTACAAATCTAAACACGACCCTAGATAGGTCATGCTAATTAATACCTTATAAATATCTCACCCATTCTTTATAAACCATCCAACATCCACGAGCCATTCCATTTATTATATTCAGAGTTCGCCTTGAATCACCACACACAACGTGAGTGGTCGTATCACAGACATTATCAACCAATAGAAATCCTCCTAACTTCTTAACCACAGCACTCACAACTTCCTGTTCACTATAATCATAATAATAGGCATAAAGAATATAGATAAGCATATTTTTTGTATTAGTTAATGTCAGAAAGCAGGTATATCATTTGTACATACTTCTCAATCAAGCAAGAGCAGAGAGATATGGGTATAACCTCGACACAAACTAGGTCATTTTGGGACTAACATATAGTTCAATTTTATTTCAATAATAATCTTGCGTGAAGGGGTCGTTAGCAGTGGGAGGAAACCGGAGGACCCGGAGAAAACCCACGAGGTTGGACAGACTACCCTACTCCTTGTCACATACAACCAGGGAATCGAAACCATGCCGGCTGACTCAACAGACCTTATGATACAACGAACACACGCTAGCCATTCGGCCATCCACCCAGCCCCCAAGCAAGAGGAACAAACTAAAGTACAATCTAAGCTATCTCAATCTGATTAAATTTGCCTCCTCTACTTGAGATCTGACCTGTTGTAGAGGGAGGTTACACCAGGGGTCAAACTAGCGACTTTTTACGCTATGACATCAGACATTCAATTAACCAATCAGCATCAGTGTTTCAAGCGACTATTTGGAAATACAACTTTGCTTTGTTTCGTTTTCTATTACTGCAAACTTCTACCTACATTTCCGTGCACTGCACAATAAGAAAGAGACCATTGGATTGGCTAATCACACAACAACCAGAATGCAACTTTTTAACAACACTTCCAGATCTGGTGTAGTGAAGACAAGCAAAACAGAACAATAAAAATCGAAACGAAATAGGATCTGTGTTTTAATCAGATTGGAGCTTTCTATACTGCATGGTAAATATTACATGAAATGAGGCCCGCCTTACAACAACAGTGTAAGTGGACTTACTACATGAACTTACTTAGTATGCATACTGGTCATTACAATGGTTGGCCGAGTTGCTTTAGCGGAGATATCATCCACAGTTTTCTCACGACAAAATGAGTTAGCTCTCCGCAAACTGACATTAGACCCAACATGCTTCCCAGTTTCATCATCAGGAAGTTCCATGGAAAGGTTTTCTACATCTGTCACTTTATTGTTCGATTTGTGTTTAGTTGATTTTGATTTTCTCTTTGTAGTTTTTGATGTGTTTTGGTCATTTTCCGAAATGCTTGACAATACATTGCTATGTTTGTTCTTCTTGTGAGTAAATATCTTAAAATCGTCAATACTACGTCTAGATTGTGATAAATTCAATGAAGCCAGTGTGGAGTCGCCAAAAACAGTTGACATTGACGCTCCTAAAAATCCAGTGGTTTCGTTTCTGGAAGAATCTGCGTTCTCTATTGTTTCATCATGAACTAGATCAAACTGCCGCGATAATCTTTTAGGTTTTTGTGGACATTTTTTAGAACTTGGTGACAGGGACTTTTGATTATGTAGATTATCCATACCATTTTCACTAATACTATTTGTGGTACTCTTAGTACCACGCTTCGTTCTTTGAGTGATATTCGGAGATTCCGTTTCCGGAAAACTTGCAACTGACATTCTTCGTGAACTACGTCGCGGAGAATTGATGCTGGTGGTGGAAAGGTCAGGTGTTGCTGCTATAGAAACACGTCTGTTTAACAGTTTAGGTGTGTCTGCCCGATTTTCACTTAATGAAGATTTCTTAGATTTTAAAGACACATTTTCTATCGTAGAAGAACAATCAGGTGTTTTAGTAGAGTTATCACTCAAGGAAGAATTATTTGATTTACTTAAAACTGAAGAACGTCGACTGCTTCTCCTATGACTAGATGCTTTAGAGTTAACTTCCTCTGAATTTTTACTATAAATGCTTTCTAGCATGGGTTTTTCTTGTGAACTAGAACCCGAGTCTAATTTATCGGCCAAATATTGAGCATGAATATTTTTAACAGGTTTCACTAGTGGAACAGGATCTTTAGTCAAAGTTTTTGATCTTTTTGGAGTTTTGTCGTTTTCTGTCAAACTATTGTCTGACTCAGTCTCTATTTTTCTCTTTCGACCTTTCAACTTTGCCCCATTTGTGACCTTTTTTAATGTAGCTAATCTGGGATTGGAATTTGTTAAATTTGGGAGATTACTTTCTGAACTATGGGTAGGTTTAACTAAAAATGGTTTGGGTGAATTAGCGTTGAGCACATTGAATAGTTTTCGCTTTGATACAGTCTCTGGACAGGAAGAGTCCATTTTATTATTGCTATGGTTACTATTATCTTCATCAGTTTCCTGTCTTACAGGTACATCAGCTTTTTCACCAGTTGGTGTATCACTAGATTCATTTCCTGAAATTAATAAAAATTTGTTAATCAACAAATTGAAGGGTATGTTATTAAACCTTTCACTATCAAGATTGTTCATGTAGGACCCAGTTCCCTCAAGCTCATATTGTGAGTTATTTGGGTTGATACGATCCTGGACTATATTATATATACAAGTAATACAACCCACCGGAAAAATCTCCATTTATTCTTCATTCAATTCCAAATGTTACGGGTTCTTTTACTTACATGCCAAAGTGGACCTTGGTTTTTCATCCCATCTTAATGACTAGGCAAAACCTTGCTTGTCAGTCTCACAAATGCTACCCCTGACAAGTGGGAATTTAGTTTGACAACTCCTGAGATTAGAACCAGAGTCCAGTGTATCTAATGCTTGAATACTACGACCCCCAGCAGGAACCATAATATATTGTGCCAAACTCTAAAATTTGAAATCAATTCGTACAGGCAGACTGAAGTTATTTAATGAAAATAAAATGTACTTGTGATCCACCAGCAGCAAAAGATAAAGTACGAGTAACACATGAGATATAATATAATTTGAATTTACCATTGAATAATTTTCTGTGTAATGGTTGAAATGGTTTAACACCAACTAAAGGTGAATCTGTTCCACTACATTCTGAACCTATTAAAATATACAATATTATTAATACACAAATACTTATCTTTTTAAACAGTTTTTATGTTCAAACTCAAGTTGGCTAGAGATAAGTGCTATTTCAAAAGGCAAAGGATGCATACTATGTTAAAAACAACAGATACAACTTTTCAATTGAGGATTTAACATAGTTCACAAACTTTATTTGTACTTTTGTATTTTTACTTCAAATGAAAAAGAAATGAAATGAAATGGGATTTAATGCCCTACTGTTCTGCTCCGACTGGGATAATGAAGATGTACATATGCCATACAGTGTGCTATGACAGAAATTTTTCCCTGACAGAGGCGTTATTGTCACTCTTATTTCCATTTCCAACTGTCAGGAATCATTAACAAGCTGCTACTGTACGGGACTTCATTTTTTTTTGTCCCATCTGAATGACTAGATATAGCTACTACTGCAAAGGGCGGAAAAACCTGAGAAAAATTATCAGCCAACATGAGGATGCAGAATCCATCATGAAGATGATATGCTTACCTGATATATAAATACTAAGTGTGATATTATAAAACAGTTTACAGCTTACTGTTTAATCTAACTTGTTGTATAGACACAGAGAGAGAAATGGGGTTTAACATATGGTACAATATTATTTCATTTATTCGCTTGTGCATAGGGGTCTTTAGCAGTGGTAGGAAACCAGAGGACCTAGAGAAAACCCACGACTTTGGACAGGCAACCCTACTCCTTGTCACGTACAAACGGGGAATCAAAACCATGCCACTTGACTCAATGACCAACCTTCTGATCTAATAAACACTTGTTATCGAATCGACCACCCAACCCCCCAGTTGTATAGTCACTATCATAACCCGGTATATAAATACTAAGTATATAAAATAGTTGAAATCTTACTGTTTAATCTAGCTTGTCGTATTTTAGATATCTGATCTTTCATACTAGCTGGTGTATTAGGTATAACTAATGGTATTGGTGATCTCCAATCAGATGGTGAGGGCTGAAATCAAAATTAAACTTTTATATAAATCTATTTTTTTTTCTGATACCAAATATAAATACCGACTAATACTTCATTGATTTGGTTAAAAAAAACATATGCTTGCCAGCCTTACCTTCCTATTGAGGAACTTTGGTATTTTTCCAAACTTGTGAAATATACTCTTCAAAAAAAGTAGGGGATATTGAAATGCAAATACCTATGCAGGGTTGTGATATGATAAATAGTCATGGACACTTGACGTGCTTTGAGAGTATGTTCACAGATGAAGAACTTATCGCCCCAACAGAACCACTGAGCTGCATGTGCGACACGCAATAGCGCCATACACGTGGGTGGGGTTCATTGTCAAATTTGAGACTTCAAGGAAGGGTTGATGAAAACTGCCGCTTGCTGGTTTATCCTATCCATATTTGCTTTCCTATCAGTTCTTGCATAAGATTTACTGTTTAGCGTATCTTTGCTTTAGTGTGTTACGTTTAATTTGATCAGGAGACGTGTTCGTCTTAGTCAACGTCGACCGACAACACTGCAAGAATTGGCCGTGGCACTGCCCAAATCGTGATTGGACTGTTGATTAGGAGCATGCCACGACGAATTGCTGATGTCTGAGGATTGGTGGAGCAATTACTCATTATTAAGATAAAAATAAAAAACGTCCATTTTCACTTTTAACAGTGTATCTCTTTGCGAGTGAAATGGGGCCGTCAGATAAGCCCCCCATATGAACTGTTTATGTTCATGTTTAGGCAATTGGCCTGTTAGTAACATATACTGGTTACCTCTAATAAAAACAGCAGTGCATTTCCGCAGTTTTGTACTGTTTCTGAATATCCCCTACTTTTTTTAAAAAGTATATCTAGCATCTGTATCAAACATTCACCTACATGTCTACAAGTGACTGCAATCTATAAAAGGTATATCAACTCTGTCTGTATACCGGTCTGCATTAATCTGATTAATGTGTTCTGATAGTGAAATCAGAAAACAAAAAAAAAAAGGGGGATGATCCATCTTTTAAAAATAGTTTTTAAAATTGAGCGAAACTGACCGGTGAACGAGGAACAGTATCATAAGCTAATATTCTAGGTGATGCCACTGGTGTTGTATTCCCTGATAATCCTAAACGTTCTTCTTCCTTCTTACGTTTTCTCTCGTATCTCTCAGAACTTCTTGCTACATCATCATCAAAATCATTTGGCTGCATAGATTTCATTTTCTTTTAAAAATAAAAAAAATAAACTTGAAAGAATTGGATCTAACCTATCATCAAAAACAGGGACATTTATCGTACATTTGTAATAATCCATAGGTAATAATCCTAAAGCAAACAAAAAACTTGATAAGACTATACAAGTATAAAGATTTAATCCAGGATGCGTTTTGGACGGGAATGTTGTCAGGAGTGTCGATTGGGGATTTCTACCTGTGGATTATTACGAAAAGGAGATTTCTTGTCGGATGTATTAATAAAGTAATAATATTGGTCTAATTTACTGCAGATCAGTTGTAAATGATGTGATCGGCTTTTTTCTTTTTTTTGAAGAGTGTACGGCATTACTGAATTACTTTGGTCCACCCAAGACCCACAACGACTAGGTAACAGCCGTACAATGTCATTTTAGCCTGATGAGTTTGCATAAGAACGAAACAAGTCGCTTCATGAGAGAAATCTGGCTGGGACGTCTACCGGCTACTTATAGATTTCTAATTTTAATTAAAACTAATTCAAATAATTACATTAACTTACTTTTAAACGATTCCTTTTAAAAAAAATTGGTGTTGATTTATTTTTTTCTGGTAGAACAGCTGGATACATATTCTCAGTAACATGCCGTTTATTTCGCATACAACTTGAAAAGAGAATTCAGTAGGCTTCAAAACATCTGTTCATTCAATACAAATTAGATCATTTCAGGACTAACATATGGTTCAATTTTATTTCAATAATTCTCTTGCACATAGGGGTCTTTAGCTGTAAGAGCAAACCATTGTATCTGGAAAAACTCCAGGTTGAACATGCAACTCTACATCTTGTTTGGGATCGAAACTACATGTACACCACTGGACTCAATGACAGGCCTTGTGATGTAAAGTGCATGAGTTTAGACGACTAAACCACCCAACTCCAAATTCGACTTTTTTGCCCAAATGTCAGAATTCTCTTCCAAAAAAAAGTCAAAAACCAACACTGGGAGGCTTCAGTACAAAAAACAACCTTAAGACCAATTCTGAATCTGTATAAAACATTTTGTAAGCCGAATGATGAGATTTACTGGAAAATTAATAAAACTAAAATGTGTAGACATTAAATCTCAAGATCATTTTTTCCACCTATTGTCAGTCTTCTGTTCAAGGCCTAATTTAGCAAGTGAGCAGGTTAACAGAACACAATTTTTATGGGAACCATTCACTGGTTTTATTAAACATGCATTATGCAAGAACTAAATCTGATTATTGCAAGTCTTAATTTAGGCTTCAGATGTTATAGAAATTATAAATTAGATCTTTATTTAAACAACAAGACCAAAATCAACTCTGTAGACCCACGGATGGCTCGGCTACAGCTCGGATTTAAATAGGATTTCACTAATTGATTAAATCAAATAAGGGGTAACCTGATGAAAATACGTCAGTTAGATCGAGGCTAAATGATAGAGTGTACTTAGCGAGGCCGCTGTAAAGCATTTCCGTATGCCATTGAAAACTTTACTTGATAATCGAGATATGTAGGTGGAGTTAACGCCTGTCAATCAAACGATCGGCGAAGGTGAAGACACATTTCGCTACCATTTCTAGGCAAATATTTCAACGATGATAACTATGTTCAGAATAAAGTAATTTGACTGAATTTTTCAATATATTCTTCTTTCATCATCTACTTTTGAACTGTTATAGCAAGAATGGCCAACTCTCTATAAAAATCTTCCATAATGTATCTTTAAGTGAGCAAATCGCCAAATAAATGCACATACTCTATGTTACAAATGAAAATGAAATGAAATGGGATTTAACGTCCTACTATTCTACTCCAACTGTGTGCTGCGAGGGAAATTTTGCCTGGGCAGCAGCCCTATGGCTTACTCTTATATTGAATTCCAACTGCCAAGGCATCTTTTACGTGCATGCCAATGTATACACAGGACCTCGGTTTTTCGTATCATCCAAACAATTAGACAGCTGTCCTTGTCAGGCTCTCCATTCTGCACCACTGACATGGGAAACCACGCCAGAAAATCACGGGTGAACTTTCTCTGCGTATGCAGGGATCAAACACGCAACCTCCAGGCTAGCGAGCCAGCGTCTTACCCACTTAGTCACCATGGCTCCCGCCTCTATGTTCCTATTCTGGAATTCTTACCTATCGACCCATAGAACCGATACCAGATGAAGTCCTTTTTTCTTGGCTTTATCAATCGTTCTTTTGGTGCCATCTTTAAATATAACATGAGTAACTGTACTTGTAAAAGTTTTTTCTATCTCTGCACCCAGATTTCTTAACATACAACAAACAGCTTCACTTCGATTATCATTGTTAGTTCTGACCTCTACATATGCTCGGACACCTGTAATATAATGAAGATAGTTGTTTATTAAACAAAATACACGTTGAACTTAAGTCATTAAAATTCTGTAATGCCAAAAGTAGGGCCTAGAAACTGAAATTGTAATGTTCCATGTAAATAATTTGACCAGGTTTCCAATGTTTACCTGGAGGTGAACTTGGTATTATCAATAGGCCAGGAATAATGAATTTAGTTGTACATACTGTCTGAGCCATGGGTTAGTTTTTAAAAAGTTACAAGTAATTTGTTCATGCAGCACAAAATGACTCAATCTTTTAGTAAGGCTCAGACGAACAAACTTATCTGATATTTTGAATTCAATCTGTGCAAGACATGTATAAAGGTTTTAATAAAAACACTGAAAAGGTCAAATCTGTGCCTGAGCAAATGACATGCACCATACAAGTTGTGTCTGACAAAGCCTGAAGTTGTGGATGCTAAGTTGTGACAGGATTTATATAAGTTACATTTATTAAGGCTAGAGGATAGGAATCATGTGATTACTTTTATTACCTTCCAGTACATGTACGTTAGATGTAGATGAATCAGACTGCTCATTCTTGTCACTATTTTCACCACTATCCAGTACATCAATGATTTGACTAATGTTCCTCTCTAATGTTGTATCGAAGTCAAAATCTGAAGCTGATGGACTGTCTTCCCCTGAAAACAATCTCTGAAATACAAAATAAATAAGATGAGGTGTAGCCTAATAAATTAATAATAAATCATATAATTCAAACAATAGGGACGGACGATATAGGTTTAACATATGGACGAGGACATGGATGCTAAACTACTGCGACTGAAGACCGTCAGTAATGCTAATCTAATCATTTTTCAAAGACAGCTTTCCAGGAGAGTCTCGTCAGTTAGCCTATAACTTATCAATAATTATAACATGTACCAGGTTTCATCAAAATCGGATCAAACTTGTGGCCTCTACTAGGCTCTACAGGGTCCACAACCATGATATGCCATATATTTACACTATTTGCGTACGAGGGGCAGCCTTTTTGTCCGGCAGTTTTGGTCCGATTTTCACGAAATTCGAACTCATCTTGTCTTCAACTTGTAAATCGAACAAAACAAAACAATAACATTATTAGCAAATTTGACTTTGGGCAAAAAAGGTAAATACTAATGCTCAGCCAATTAGCAATAACTGATTCATAATGTGTAAAAATGCGGACTGTATTTCGGTGATATGATTACCTTATTCATTTTACAACAATCTTTTAATTTACATTTTTCAATTTTGCCCGTCTGAATCTTCAAATATGGCGGGTTGCGTGCCCGGGGTCAAGGTCAACTTTTATTTAGAGTTATTCCCCGTTAATTTTAAAATAGAAATATTTCTATAGTTAAGGTGTATGGAGCCGAATCGTTGTCAAATAATAATATGTGTAAAATTGCAAAATTTTAAAAATGGCCATTTCGAGATTTTATATAATTTTTTTATGTAAATAACACATAATGTACAGACTTAATATTTATTATGAATATTTAGCACCATGAAAATTACTAGGAGTATCAAAACAAAAATTGAAAAATTCATTGTATAACTTTTTTCTGTTTGCATTCGGCTCCCAAAGAGTGACGGTCTCTTCCATTATTCGTGATTTAGCAATGAAATGTCAGACATCCTGGAATATTTAAATGTTTTACTGATCTATATACAGTTTTGTCCTTTACACCATTTTAATCGGTACAAACAATACATCAAAATTTCAAATAGATCAGATAATTAAAGCCGATCGTTTCAAAGCGGTAGCGCGAAAGTCGTCTTTTAACCCTGTACATGACTGGCCTCTAAGTTCACGTGCAGTACAGGTCTACGTGTGACGTCACATCATAAGGCGTCGCTGGCACGTGCGTCGTTTACTTTGGACGTATAGTAACACAAACTGGGTGCCTCTAACTCATTTTACGCCTTCGCGTACTATTTATGTACAAATTTACATTAAATAGCAACTATTTTGTAAATATACTTCCAACAGCTTTATTTTTTTTTCTCTTAATAATTAAAAAAAAATATTTTAGAAGTTAATTTGCAGAAGAAAAAAGCAATAAGCATCTCATAGGCTTTTTTTCCTTGAAATTAATTCAATAACTAATTAAATATAATCGGATCAAAATGGAAGGTCCTAATATAACACATATCTACATGAATTAACCAACCAGAAAAGACGAGTCGTCAAAAGAAATCGTCGTAGCCTAATTATCGACTAAAGAAAACATAATTTGTTTTCTAGTTCGAAATAAATAAATCCCCAATTATTTCCGTTTTGTGGTAATTCGTGTAGTCATAAAATGGCTATTTTGTGTGAAAAAGTACTAACAACACAATAATAAACCATGTATCACCTTTATATGAAACTGGTGTATCGTGAGGTATATGACCCAACTTAGCACCTCGCAATGATCAAAGCTATAATATAATTAGTCTATCTGTAGACGTGTTAAGTTTGTCGGCAATATCACCCAAGGTGGAAGCGGACGTAAAACCTCTACAAACGAACGAACGTGTTAAGAAACTTCGATAATTAAACTGAAATCAGGCGATATTAACGGTTTCCACTCCATAAAACACCGATCGAAAGATCAAATATCCATGGTCTATATAAAACAAAATAAATGTTGTTTTTAAGGATAATATATTTTAAAGTCATTATGAGATTAATAGAATAATTAGACGGATAATTTAACGGCTTAGATATACATTTAAAGGTTTAGATATACTAGTCAGGCTACAAAATTGGATAATCGTTAAAATAGTTTTAGAAGACCCCAAGTTAATTTAAATTTGTTCGAGATCTGGTAACGTCACCGCTGCCCCATCTCCAATAAAACTATTAGAAGGCTTGATCTCGACTTAACTGCGTACATCTTGCTTGATGTAAAACTTGCGGTCGTTGCTTCAGGAACATGCCGCTCCCCAGTCAACAATAACCGACCCTGTATACACGTTATCACAACAGAAATAAATTTAGCACATCAATTTCCAGTATGTGCTTGTGTTGGGGTGTATTATGTCAAATTTATATGGCTGATTGAACTTCATTAGGTCAAGGGTCGCTTGGAAATACATGTACAAGGTTGATTAAAAGAGTTGGGTTTTTATTTTTATTCTTTTTTTAAACAAACATAATCTTTATTCACTGAAATATAAAATATCATACAGAACAGCTATATATTGTTATAAATAACTCAAATCATTATATAAATAAAATTAAAGGGCGGACCCAGAAATATACAATATCTTTTATTTTAAAAGGTAATGTTTTTTTTGTGGGGGGGGGGGGTAAAACAAACTACATTATAATCTCTCATATTTACTGGTCCAAAAAATAAAATAAAATAAAATGTGGTTCTAATTTAAGTCACTTCTTTCATCTGGTTATACCTGGAGTCACGACACGAGTAGAGTTATCTATCTAGAAATACAGGTGCGAAAATCCAGTAGGCTTCTATTATTCTTTTATCACTAACCTTAATTGTATCCAGCTTGGATAAACAAACAAACAGAAACAGGTAACAATCAACCTCCTCGTGGGAAGACATCGATAAAAAATAGACGTCGCCCTGTCAGGTAAAATAACACGAGATTAAAAAATAGATTTGTAGGTTAATTAAAATATTTAAAACCAAGTGAAACTCTTGATGGATTATCGTCCTTGTTTTATAGGTGTTAAAGAATGACACACGTCACACTACAGGTAGTCGCTGAGAAAAATAATGAAAAAACTTTAATATAATTACTCAAATAATACGAAAACAACTCTAGATCATAATAGAATAACTAACCTCAACATTTTCCCACCCTCTACAAAATGAATAACATACTACACCCCCACTCCACCCAAAAGAAACAGCCTTTTTATATCAAAAACACCAAAATAAAGACACCCCACCTCCGCTCAAATAAAACATTAAAACAGAAAAAAAGCAAAAGAAAAAAATCGAAGATCAAACGACTCTAGAACATAATAGAAAACTAACTTCAACATTTTTCCACTCTATAAAACCGAGGTACCGTGTACTCATTGATGTGCACGTAACTCGGCAGCTGGAATTCCCTCATAGAACACTGTATACCCGTCTTCATTAGCCTAGTCAAAGCAGAACAGTAGGACGTTAAAACCATTTCATATCACTTCAAATTCACGCAATACAACGGTTTCTCTTAAATTGAGGTACATATTGATGATCCGATACGATAAAAAAAAAAACGTGTTAGAATCACACCTTGACTTGTTTATTTTGAACAAGATAGTTGGAAACTACAACAGGCATCACCATGTTTGTTTTACGTAGATCCGTTCAGTTGACGGTGGAGTTTTTACAATAATACATGTGATCTTTCTGTTGTGACTCGATAGTTTACAGAAATAAACTATGGATTTATTTTAAGATTCCACTTGTTTTGAAGACAAGACGTCAACATCATCCCAAAATGAATAATAAACTTTGTAATTGTTGTTTCATATTTCCAACAATTTGTCGTCATTTATCAGCCTTTAATCGTAGTAATGGTTAAATATGTAGATTAATTTAGAAAGTTTCCGCTCCGGTACTTGCAATATTCTTCAATAATGTCAACTGTTTACCAAATGAAATGGGTGGGGTGGGGAGGGGTATCGAGTCAACTGGCGTGGTTTTGATTCCCCGTTTGACAAGGAGTAAGTTAGCCTGTCCAGCCTCGTGGGTTTTCTCCAGGTCCGCCGGTTTCCTCTCACTGCTAAAGACCCATACGCGAAAGCGAATTATTGAAATAAAATTAAAAACCACATGTTAGTCCAGAAATCACCTAGTTTGTGTCGAGTGGACGTTAAACCCCACACCCTCTCTCTCTCTCTCTCTCCCTCTCTCTCAACTGGCGTGGTTTCGATTCCCCCGTTTGACAAGGAGTAGGTTCGCTTATACAGCCTCGTGGGTTTCCTCCCACTACTAAAGATTCCTTTCGCGAAAGCGAATTCTTGAAATAGAACTGAACCATATTATGTTAGTCCCGAAATGACCTGGTTTATGTCTAGTGGACGTTAAACCTGTACAAAGACTGGGTGTGGTTGTTTTTTTATTAATTAATAACAGTATTACTACTTTTAGATACAATGTTTTATAAATACACTCCGGCGGAACTAATTTAGGAAGTAAACATGAAATGAAATGGGGTTTAACGTCCTACTGTTCTGCTCCTAACCTGGGCTAATGAAGACGGGCATACGCCATACAGTGTGCTATGAGGGAAATTTTGCCCGGACAGCGGCACTACGGCCTACTCTTATATCGAATTCCAACTGCCAAGGGATCTTTTACGTGCACGCCAATGTGTACACGGGACCTTGGTTTTTCGTACCATCCGAACGACTAGACAGCTTTCCTTGTCAGGGAAGTAAACATACTTTTATTCTTACTCTTTCTGATTTTTGGGTCTAGTCGTTCGGATGGGACGGACAACCGGAGACCCGTGTACACATTGGTGTATACATAAAAAATCCCTTGCTAGTTGGAATTCGATATAAGAGTAAGCCGTAGTGCCGCTGCCCGTGCAAAGTTTCCCTCATAGCACACTGTATGGCACATCTCCCTTTTCATTAGTCAAGTCGCAGAACAGTATGGCGTTAAACCCCATATCATTTCATTTCATTTCTGAATTTTTTTTTAAAGAATATTAAATTTGTTACAAAGCATTAGGGGCTTTCCCCATAGAGGTTTTAAATCACCGAAATGTAACAGTGAATTTAGAATGAATCCGCAGTAAATGGTTTGAGGACGATTAAGAGCGTGTGAGCGGTTTATAGCTGTGTCAGTTGTTTATTTTAAAGTTGGGCATCGTTCACAACTAAAACAGTAGCCATTTATTTGTTTATGTTAAATGGATTCGTTTGGTTTGCAAAATTGTCAAAACACTACAAGTTTTTACAAGAATAAAAAGAACTGTAAATTCTTTTATCTGTTACAGAATATCTCACAAGAAATTATTGACTATTCTTTGTTTAACAATAACAACCACTTTATTCGCATCAAACATATTCACAAATTATTTGGACTTTTTCCTATTAGAAACTTTATTGTAAATACGACCTTGGATGGCCATTTTTATTAGCAGAAAAATAGTACTGAAAACTAAGTTTTATTCATTGATTTAAATAGAAGGACGCCGTTAAAAACGGAAAGAATGCCAAAACAATGATAACAATGTGAAGATATTTTTATATAACACATGACACAATTAAATGGAATACAATTTACTTGAGGAGTTTATTTCAGTGCCGTTTCGACGAGGGTTCTCCCGTCTTTATCAGGCAAAACGTCGCTGAAATAAATCCTTCGAGTAACTTGTATTCCCTATAATTGTGTCATGTGTTATTTTCATTCGGTTACTAAATGCCGCTTAAACAATATATTTATACATGTAAGTGGAAAACATATGAGAATATACAGAAGTTAAGAATATTCGGATCTGTTTCCGTGTCAAATTGAATAAATTTTGTTTATTTTTAAAAAAATGCATAGAAATCAGGAAAATGGGGTTCATCCGAGTGATTTGTACACATTCAACTCCTTGAAATGAATTTATTTCAAAATAAAATATTTCTGCGAAGGATTTCAAATTTCAGGTATGCTTACCTCTAATTGGTTCGATTACTAGAGTTAATCTTTTGATTAATCCTTAATCCGCTAAGATTAACAAATCACGTGACCTTTGTTATTCTTGATTAAGGGCTACATGTCGGCTTCAGTGACACTATCAACTTTAACCTCTACCTGCATGCAGTGCACGAGCAAGATAGGTCACGTGTTCTGTTTACTTGTCTGGTTGAGTTGAAGTTGATGACAACTGGCGTGGAAGAAGACAAATAAAGAAAATAATTTTGGAGTAATAATTTCTGGAATGTGACAGACGATATTTTGGATATAAAAGTTGTAGAAAAGCCATCAACATGCAGACCAGTTCTACACATCTAACCGATCGAACAAACTTGCAAACTGTATCTGAAACAATTTCAAGTACTGCCAACACAGATTTTCAACCCAAGTTGGAAAATACGCCAAATATGAACCAGTACGCTTCTGCATACGGTACCAGTGATAAGATAGACAACATGGCGGCTAGATTGGATAACTATAATGGATATTCAAGTTATTTCCCACCAGAGCCAACTTTCTACAGGAATATCCCCTACATACAGAATATTCAAAACACCCAAAGTATGACGTCAAACACGGGTTATCGATATCAGAATTACGTCAGTGGTCGAACGGGATATGACGTATTGGAGGAATCACAGAGGCCTTTGGTTATTGACGAAGAAAAGTCACAAGATGGCATCAGAAGTTGTGAACAATCTCTGGTTAGTGTGAGTAGTGATGGTGACGAGAATAGGGAAAATCTCCCAGCAGAAACTAGCAGTGGCAACGAGCCGGATCAGATTCAAAACGAAGAAGACCAGGAAGAAGACGACAGTCCCAAAACTACATCACGTGGTTCGAGAAAAAGAAAGCGACCTATTCCAAAAGGGAAACCCCCATACAGTTACATTGCTCTGATAAGTATGGGTATCGCAAACTCACCAGAGAGGAAATTGACCCTTCACGAGATTTACAGTTTTATAACGGAGAGGTTCCCGTATTATCGAGATCATCCCAACTCCAAAGGTTGGAGGGGTTCAATTCGCCATAACCTGGCCCTAAATGACTGTTTTGTTAAATTGGATCGTAAGCCGGGTATGAAAGGTCACCAATGGGCTATTGACCCTGATTATGAAGACATGTTCGATCATGGCAGCTTCCTTCGCAGACGTTATCGATTTAAAGATGGGGCCAAGAAGAAACCCCGAAACAACGAATCGAATCCTAACGCCATTGTTCTACCAAATCATGGTTATGGTTATCCAGGAGATGTTGGAATCGTCGCCCCAGTAACCAACATGATTCATAATACCTGGCCTATGCCTGTAGGTATTTCTAACAACACCTCTCCTTCATCCAGTGGATCGTCCCCAGAATCAACCCCTCTCGCCAGACCACAGTTATCGGACAATGCTGGTCCGATATGGAATCCATTTGTCAGTCAGCATAGCTCTTACAACCAAAGTCCTACAGGATCGGAAGGCTACGTATCGAAATCACCAATTGAAAATTCGCCTTATGGTAGTTCGTGTTCATCCCAGGTTTCTCCGATATCTCCTGTTGATGACGAAAGTTGCCGAGAAGAATCGACAAGCGCCGAATCGTCCCCGGGGTCCCGAGACCCAACGACGTGCTATGTTAATTCCCAGCAACAGATGATGAATCAAATGACAGCTTATTGGAATAATCAGGCTCTACAAGGATATGGTATGAATATGAATTTCATGGAGGCCTTTCCTTCAAGTATGAACATGAACGCATTCACTAACTTGTACCTCAATAGTGCCTCTAATATGACCGACACAAATGTTCGAAATTATCCGTATCCCCCTATGAACGTCGTAGCTGGATGTAACGGTGGTCGTCCAGTTCCTCAGAATCAAAGTGCTAATTCCCCTGAAGGATGGACCTCCTAAAAAGGACACACTAGCCCTTGGCATTAAATGTGCTTTTAGACAATTATAAAGAGAATTAAGCTATTTGTGTAAATTGTACTTAATGTATTATTTTGTTATACTCTATTTAGATTTGAATTTAATCCCCCATTTTGTATTTTTAAATGGAGTCAGTCAGATCGTTTTGTTAAAGTGACGACTAAGTTATTCATTTTTTTTATTAAGCGGAAGTGACGTTTTAACTCACTATATAATAATGTGAATGATAAATTTGTGATATTCATATCAACTCATTGGCTCAGCATTACGTTAAAAAGTTTCTAAATTGCCCCACTATTATTTCTCTCCTGACACCTGTTTCACCTATCAAGATGTAAATGTGTTATTTGTTATAAATTAAAACGTTTTGGTTAAATTTGTTGGTGTTATTGAAATGCAATGAAATGGGGTTTAACGTCCTGTTCTGCTCCGATCTGAGCTAATGAAGACAGGCATACGCCATACAGTGTCCTATGAGGGCAATTTTGCCAGACAGCTGCACTAAGGCCTACTGTCAAGGGATCTTTTACGTGCACGCCAATGTGTCCACGGGACCTCGGGTTTTCGCACCATCCGAATGACTAGACTGCTGTCCTTGTCAGGCTCTCCGTCCTGCATCACTGAAAAAGGGGTGGGACCACGCCCGGAAATCTGGATGAACTTTATCGGCCAATGCAAGGATCGAACACCCGACCTCCAGGCTAGCGAGCCAGCGTCTTATCCACTTAGCCACCATGACTCCCATTGTTGGTCTTATTACTTTACATGTATTGTAAAATTATTTCATAGAATTATTTACCAACACAGAGAGAGAGAGAAGTGGGGTTTAAGGTCCACTCGACACAAACTAGGTTATTTCGGGACTAACATGGTTCAGTTTTATTTCAATAATTCGCTTGTGCGCAGGTGTCTTTAGCAGAGGAAACCCTACTCTTTGTCACGTACAAATGGGGATTCGAAACTTCGCCACTTGGCTCAATGACAGACCTTATGATTTCAAACGCACGCGTTAAACCACTAGACCAACTCGGCGAGTAAGGCGCTGGCTCCTTGGGATAGATCCGGGTGTTGGCCCAGAAAGTTTATCAAGATTTCTAGAGTTGTCTCCCCAAAACAGAGGGCCTGGCAAGAGGAATTTATGAAAGACGTAATCCCATAGCACATTATGACGTTAAACTTCATTCCGTTTCATTTACCACCAAGGTATGGGATGTGGCATAATAGCGCCAAATTCTCAAATTCAATATTTTTTTTATCGTATGACCACCTGGCTTCGACGAGCGGTAATGTACGAGGTAGAGTGCAATTGCTATTTCTAGAACCGAGGACTATTAAACTGTTAGCTCCGCTTGAGAACAGACACTAAAATCGACAATTTTAGTTGAAAACACTAAGTATACTTCGAGAATTTTGAGAAGTGTTTTTATCTGCTTCAATTTAATGGAATTTAATTAGTCTTCGTGTGTATGCTAGATGTGAAACGGAGTAGAACCGCATTACAAAACAATTTTGGATATGGCGGCAATTTAGGACAGATTTATTCTCGAAGTATGAAGTAGACTGATCTCTGTGTGCACTTTTCCACTCGTTTTGTATGAAATTAGCATGTGTCACGTTTTGGTCTAGAATCAGTCCATGGAAACAGCTTGAATTTACATATTCTTTCAGGGTTCGATGTGGATGAATAGCGCTGGATCGATAACGGGGTTTATTTATTCCGATGGGAAGCAGAAATCGAGCTCCCGTGTACACATATGGGTGCACGTAAAAGAACCTTTGACAGTTGGAATTGGAAATAAGAATAGGCCGTAGCGTCACTGCCCGGGCAACATATACCTTCCTAACACGCTGCATGGCGTCTGTCCGTCATAAACCCATTCGATGCAAAACAGTAGAATATATACAGCCCCATTTCATTTGGAAATTTTAATGGTCATGCTCCTGCGATCATTGTGCATTTGATGCAAATTGTAGTTTACAATCAAATTGCGGAGAAAATAATTGTGGATATATCTTTATCGTAAGAATTTCTCCCTTTAGTCATCGATCCAGATTCGATGTTTCATGCAGGTTTTTGTATTTTGAGGGTAATCTGTCTATTTTTAAGCCCCGATAAATGTTTCTGATATTTTCCCGCAAGATCATTGTGAACTCGTGTTTTTGTTTTTTTAAATGATAATGCAAGAGTACCTGTTTTATCTGTGGTCCAAAGTATATGAATATAATATAACTCTGAACTCCAAAGGTGTGTGTGTGTGTGTGAGAGAGAGAGGGAGAGAGAGAGAGAGAGAGAGAGAGAGAGAATGGGTTTAACGCCCACTTGACACAAACTAGGTCATGTCGGGACTGACACACGGTTCAATTTTATTTCAATAATTCGCTTGCGCGTAGGGGTCTTTAGCAGTGGGAGGAAACCGGAGGACCCTGAGAAAACCCACGCGGTTGGACAGGCGACCCTACTCCTTGTCACGTACAACCGGGGAATCGAAACCACGCCATTTGACTCAATGACAGACCTTATGATACAGCCCGCACGTGCTAACCATTCGGCCATCCAAACTCTCTCCAAAGATGAAAATATCAAGCTAATACAAACAGTTTGTATTTCAGACTGTCCGATGAATAGAATATTGGCATTTGTTTTCCGTTGCACGGGGTGCTGTATCCACGAACATGAATATCTAAAACTGCACGTTATGTCCGTTCTGGTCATTCTTGTGATCACTCTATTGCCCCACCCCATCCCCGATTTCGTCAATAATAAAATACTAATAACAAAAAAAATAGAACGAAAGGACGATATCATTTGAACTAGACTGCAAACATATTTGTTTGGTACATCGACTATTTTTTCCAATCTTCAGGACGTGATGTAAATATGATCTTCAAAAAATAGTCCACAGTAGGTGGCTCTGCGAGTAAGAAGGTGACACGCTTACCTGGAAATCACGTATACGATCGCGTATTTCCCTCTTGTCAGTGATGCATGAAGCAGGGCTTGCAAAGAGGCTCGCTAACCTAGAGATCCCATGCACGATCGCGTAGTTCCCCATGTCAGTGATGCATGAAGCAGGGCTTGCAAAGAGGCTCGCTAACCTAGAGATCCCATGCACGATCGCGTAGTTCCCCATGTCAGTGATGCATGACGGAGTGCCAGACAAGGGACAAAGTGTAGTCGTTCGTTCGGATGGAACGAAAAACCGAGTTCCCGTGTACACATTGGTGTGCACGTAAAAGTACCATTAACAGTTGGAATTCGATATATGAGTAGGCCGCAGTAAACCCCATTTCATTTCACTAACATAATAGACTTATTATCGAAAAATTAATAGAGACTTATGTGGCTCAAGTAGGTATTGGCACAACTAAGAAGCTTTGGTAGAACTAAACAATTTATGGACTGATATTTTATTGATTTGAATAGCAGTGTTGTAAATTGACGATGATCTCCGAATTAAAGTTCCTTTTTGTATTCTGATATGCTCCTTCTTTATGCTATATAGGTTCCCACTATCACGATTCGCGCTATTGGAATCATGGTTTTAATTGTGGAGTAATCGTGGTGATCCTATCGGGTCTTATCATATATTGTGGTCATATATTAGTGAGCAGAAATTCGCCCATGTACCTGTTATCACTCGTCACTTCAATCAGTAATATAGGGGGGATAACTCGTGTTTTCCTTTTGCGTTCTTCACTTCCGATTGTTCAAGCATTAATTACGCATCTATCTTAGCAATGATCTCTGTGATAAAATAATATTTGGAACATGTTCAACCAGTTCTTACACATATGTGGTAATGATTGGCACCAATACTGTCCTTTAACTTAAGACCGGATGCATGCCGGACGTCTCTGATTGGTCACAAACTGAAAACCGATGTTTCTCCACCAATCACGCACACTTCCGACTTTAGCGAGAGAGAGAGAGAGAGCGAGCGAGCGAGAGAGAGGGAGAGAGAGAGAGAGATGGGTTTAACGTCCACTCGATACAAACTAGATCATTTCGGCACTAACACACGGTTCGATTTTATTTCAATAATGCGCTTGCGCGTAGGGTCTTTAGCAGTGGGAGGAAACCAGAAAACCCGGAGAAAACCCACGAGGTTGGATAGGCGACCCTACTCCCTGTCACGTACAACCGGGCAATCGAAACCACGCAAGTTGACTCAATGACAGACTTTATGATACAACGCGCACGCGCTAACCACCCATCCAGCCTCCCTCCGAATTTAGCAAGAAGGGCGCCTTGTTTGTTGAGAATTATCGCACTTCATCCATATCTCATTAATTTTTCATCAGTAGGATATAAATATTTTATCATCAACATTTCTCACGTGGTGCGCATCGGGAATATCGGAAGGACCGAAAACGATTAATTACAATACAGATTTGTTTATTAAACAATTAACGAACTCGTTTTGTGTCCTGTCATTTATGTATTTAAAGGAGCTAATCCCCTAACTTAAAGGGACTATCCCGATTTGAACAGAGTCTCAAAAATAAAAGTCCGAGTTCGTATGAAATTTAAGCGCCAAAATATAGAGGAATGGTGTATTTACCCTGCCTCAAAATTTCAGCTCAAAATATTGAGTTGTTTGGACGTGAACGTCAAAATTGCTTATCCGGACACGTAACCCTTTTAAGATTTCTGGTCATTTTTTTCGTTGGGTGACCTGATAATCTATCGCCGTTCCTTTAGAGGTCCATACAGTGAATGACCCATGTGCCGTACTGGATAACGAAACGTAAATTTCACCTACACATTGTTTTTATAAAATAAAAGTCTGTTTTATCCAGATAACGCATAATACAGCTTGGGACACCGGTCTCCATTTCCAGATGAAGACTGACGGGTGTAAGTTGTTTGAAAACATATCACAAATATTGAATTAGTTGATCGGCCCTTAGGTACGGGATATTAAGGAGTTTTAACACAAAATTAAGCAGTTTTATTCTCCAAAATATTATCGGGATTGGCCCTTTAATATTTTCCATAATATTCGAAATTAAAAACAAGAATTAGAATTCAAAATTGTTTCATTTCAATCTATGATGTTATCTTGCCGTTAAAATATGGGATCCAATATTTAAAACACAGTTAACATTTTATAACCAGTAAACAAATCGAGTACTCTATATTTTCGCCATTTGTAATGAACAAAGCAAACATATCCTACAAGACAATGAGGAAGTAGTAATGGCTGATTCACATGCGACAAAATAATACCCTCCCCCCCCCCCAAAAAAAAAAAAACAAAAAAAAAACGTGTAGAATGGACTAATCAGACGTAAACGATTGTCTTTCAGTTTAAATTGAATGTAAATCACTTCATATACATTCATTTTATATTAATATGTGCTTTTAGACCCATTTT